ATAATGGTGAAAGCACAGCATGAAAGGAGGGACGCAGAGCAATGTGTCCTCGTATTTCTAAATAGGCCTAATTTCATCTAAAGTGTGACTAAAACTAAAACTATAACAAACTAGTCTGTAGAGGTCTAAAGAAGACTCTTTCCACTTGAACATTTGACTGTTTTTAAAATGCTCCGCAGTTTGTCAGCCTGCTCCAATTGATCGATCAATCGATCAGCTGTGTGATTAGCTATCAAGGTGGACTAAAAATGTGTTTTTTTGAGGCCTACTTGTTTTTGTCAGTCCCTAAAATAGTAAAATTGTCAAAGATGTGGGCTGCTTCAGTATCATCACGTCATTGTGGGGTCTGAGCTATGAATTTGTCCCCATTCTTGCACGAAGATATGAATCAAGCAGCGTCCCATTTATAAAAGATGGGAATCTATTTCAGCTTCACTTATCTAATCCTCACCACCCAACAAGCAAAATACGGGTCAGTCAACCACCCAAACCCGACCCGACCTGCAAACTACGAACCTTATTGTATTATAATATACATTATACTGTAGGAGCACAATTGTCAGGACTGAGGACAAAGACACACACTTAGTGCTACAGTGTTAGTGTGTATTTGTTTGTGTAGGCCGTGTGTGTGTGTGTGTGTGTGTGTGTGTGTGTGTGTGTGTGAGAGAGAAAGAATGACAGAGAGAGGGGGAGAGGAGGTGGAAGTTGAACTACCAATGCATTACCATTGTTTTGGGGGTTGCTTCAATATAAGAAGAAAAAAATAGATATCTTAAATACTGGGATGTGTTTATATCCCTCCTCACATTTTCTGAATTAATTAATATTCTGTGAGCCAGATGGAAAGCTCTGGCAGGCCGGATGTGGCCTGCGGGGCGCCAGTTGATGCTCACTGCCCTAGATTGTCTTATAGTCTCTTGACTATAAATGAACTTCACAAGATTTGACATCATTTTCCTTGTTTCTGATATATAATATTTCTTTCACCTCTCCAGTACCCCCATGCTGTTGGCAAGAACACCCTACTGATCGCCGGCCTTCAGGCCAGAAACAACGCAAGGGTGGTTTTCAGTGGCTCCCTGGATTTCTTCAGTGATGCCTTCTTCAACTCTGCTGTGCAGAAGGCCACACCTGGCTCCCAGAGGTATTCTTTGCTGTCTAATAATGAATGCTACTGCAGCTTCTAGTTGCAAAATCAAAGCTATCAAAAGTGACATTCTGGTCACTTTTTTTGGTCATATTAACAGATGTTTGCTTGCTACTACCATGTTTGATGGAGGCGATTCCAAGTCCTTACAGGGTCTTCAGACGCCTACAGATCAGCGTCTAGTAACACTTTATTTGTATTGTCTGCCTACAGACAGTTTACAGAGTATTTGTAACATTTCAACAGCTTACTAGTTGAGATTCAACAATTAAACTGTTTCACTTTGTAACAGTTTATCTGTGGTGTATATGTGACAATTCATGAAGACATTTACATATTCTCAGAATAATGTAGTTGAACTTGAACTATTTACTCACCCAGTGCAGCATAGGTTGAGTAAATAGTTTCAGTTCAGCTAAATTATTGTGAGATTATATAGTAAATTGTCACTATATACTACTGCTATATACTCTATAGATGAACATAAACAGACAAAGTGAAACAGTTGAATCGTAGATATCTCACCTAAGAAGGTGTTCAAATGTTACAAATACAGTAATAGATAATATAAATTATCTGTAGGCAGACTATCCAAATAAGGTGTTACTCAGTTTCTTAAAAGCCCCTGAAGGCTACCCTAAACCTGCAGCTCTTTGTGTTGTAAAACACACTTCTCTGATGAGAAATGTCCAGGGTTGTGCATACATTACTTTTTAACTTCAAACTCATTTGTAGAATCAAAGTAGTCTTACATGGTATTTGAATAAGTATCAAAGACTTAAACTACTGTTGAGCATGCATTATTGCAGTCATGGTTGATATAGAGAACATGTCCAAAGTGTTTTTTCAAAGAGCAGCTCTTACAGTTGACATTTAGCAGTAAGTTAACATTTTTATATTCAAACAGAACCTGCCCAAGCAAAAACCTGCTCCAAATGTGTAGTGCATAAATTTACTGTCATCTTCCTATTAGGGTTGCATGTCAGCTCTTGATACTTTTAAGGTATCTACCAAAATTACCCAGTACCAAGTAACATTGAAATGTCTCCAGTCAAATAATACCTGCATTCAATCCTTTGCATCTTCAGATCTAGAAAAAAAAAATCTATTTGTTTGGTTTTTCTTGCAGCCACTCACTGCAGGCATTTGATGTGTGATTGGCCCACTACCACAGCAGCTACAACCCTTACAGTCTGTGGTGTGAAGTTGAGCATGTTGCGTTTGACGGAGTTGGCAGTTGAACATGCTGAGATGCCACCCAAATGTTTGAAAATTGCTATACTACACCCCTGTGGTGTCTGGTGGCAATTTATGTGATTGAAAGGCTCAGTTCACATGATGGGTATCAAATGAAGTAGGAAAAAAGGGGTCAAATGAAGTACTCTATTGGTATTGGTACCACTTTAAGGGCACTGGTATAATGATTCTTTCAAATGATACCCAGCCCTACCTCGTACTGACAAACGGTAAAATGTTAATCAGTTCTACTGTAAATTATGTCATGAAACAAACTGCATCCCATCAGACGTGGTCATAAAAATTAGGTTCTGTCCTGTCATCAATCTCCTGTGTTGAAACACTCCTCTTCTTGTCATGGTCTTTGTTAGGCACGAGCAGACAGGAAACATGGAGCTGGCCGAGGCTCTGTCTCGCTGGGTGTTCAAGGAGGCTGGAGTCCTCAGGGTGGGAGCTGTTACCCATCACCCCGTTGGAGAGACCACTCCCCCTGCAGCATACACAATCACCGACCTTGTGGTGAGTTTAAAATTTCAGTGACTTCTGTGAACAGTCATCAGTCTGAAGATGTTTGTCTCGCCTGAATGAAGGGCTGTGTATTCTTACATGTATATCTCAATCGGTGTAAACCCTTCCCATGCAGGAGTACAGCATTGTCATCGAGATGTTGTCTGAGGGCCGCTGGGTTCCCTTCGATGGAGATGATATTCAGCTTGAGTTTGTGAGGATCGACCCCTTCGTCAGGACTTACCTCAAGAAAAATGGTATGTAGTTGTAGCTATAGAACATAAACAGAACTAATAAATTCAATTTAATCAAAGCTTACAACCTAAATGTATTGCACCCTTGAGGGTTTGAGGTGTATGCACATTTAATAGTCACAAGCTGTATCCACTATAATGCTGTGTTTTCTTTCTTCTAGGAGGTAAATACAGTGTTCAGTTCAAGCTGCCTGATGTGTACGGAGTCTTCCAGTTCAAGGTGGACTACAACCGACTGGGATACACGCACCTCTACTCCTCCACTCAGGCAAGTTAATCAGAAGGTTTACTTCACTTGGGCATACCCAAATCAAAATACTGGGATTGTTGCTGTATGGAGATCTCCATGCATGGAAAGTGGCAAATGGACATAAATACTAGAAATTTAATCATGCTTTTTTTTATCCTGTGTAAATTTATGGAAATAGATTTGAAACATATTGTTGGCGATATATAAGGTGGTACTCAATGAGCAACAGTAGGATAGTCTCTCAAAACCTTGGTGTATTATTTTATAACTTAACATTTTGGAAGAGGCTTTTCTTACTTAGAATGCATTTAACAGTCATGTTCTAATGTATGGTAGTCTAACTTCCAGATTTGTTTTTTCATTACAGGTATCGGTCCGTCCCCTGCAGCACACTCAGTACGAGCGCTTCATCCCATCGGCCTACCCATACTATGCCAGCGTCTTCTCCATGATGGCAGGACTTTTTGTCTTCAGCATAGTCTTCCTACACATGAAAGAGAAGGAGAAGTCAGATTAAGGCAGAGAGACAATGGGGAAGAAATAACAAGATTATAGAATTAAACTTGTGGTGTGAAGAGTTGAAATTGAATGTCTTGATGGCTTGAATCTTCACGCAGGGACTTGGACTGCAGTCTTCTGTAAAAAATACAGTTTCTGTTTGGTTTTTGGGTTACCCAAGAAATGAGGGGCTTGAGGCCAAAAGGTGTAAGTGTAAAGCAGCGGTTGGGGATGTTCTTGTGTTTTGTTTTGTTTTTTTTGTACTTTGAAACCATTCAAAGGCCTGTAAATGTCCTGAAGTCAGTCAGCGTTTGTATAAACTAAGTTGCTTTACATTTGACAAAATGATCTCTTAAGTAGAGCACTTGCCTTGGAATATGAATTAAGTCCATATTAAGATTTGACCCACATTTTCTCAGTCAGGAAGGTTTATTGTGGTAACAACATGCACTGAATATGCCAACTGTAAATTTGTTTTTGATAAGACTTTGGTGTGTTTCCAAAAAAGTTGGAGTCATCTTAACAATAAAATACTGACATTCCACTCAATAGAAATTCCTGTCCTTTCTGTGACATGACAGAATTGTCCTCTGTGATTTCCACAATACATTGATTGATTAGTTCCCTGGACCTAATAGATGGTACTTAATAATGCATAATACATACTGTGACTGACAAACAATGTTGGTTATAGTGATGTGCTATGTTGGTATGTAGAGTGTCGTCATCATGCCAAACAAAGTCAGTTTTAATATGGTCATTTAAATGTAAGAATTTACATAGACTATCTTTCAGATACCAAACCTCATCCATCTTCCACTATTAATAAAAGGTCCAACTTCTATTGGTCACAATGAATAACTACAGTGTGAACCTATTAAAAACGTAGATTTATTTATGAACAAATTAAAACATGGGAGTTTTACATGCACGCCGAATCGAAGAGTTAACTCTGCTGATTCGACATCATGTCAAATTGTATGATGTGTTGGGTTTTTTCACAAATTTGAGAAAAATAAACTATGAATTACCGTATTTGTGAACGCGGTTCAGCCCCCAGTCTTCCCACGCGTTATTAAGGCATATTGGGCTGATGATGACGTAATCCACTGACAGGCTCAGATCAGTTAGGTCAGTAGCACAAAAAGTAACCGTAGCATCTGTGACTTTGATGTTATTGGCCTACTTATTTTGGCCAATACGCTATAAGGTAACTGAAACTAGTTTACAATAGCTAACCACAGTAATTAAATAGTGAGTTTGATAAACATAATTGCTGCTAAAAGTTATCCGTGGTTAGACACTAAAACTTGCTAACTTAGCCACCCCCACCTCTAGCTTAAAAAAGTCAAGTAGCTACAGCTAACGCGAAGCTAGGCAAACATTACTTGGGTAACCGCATCCGCTGACAGAGGCTGACCTATCACGCGGCTCGTTTGGCGTTAAGAAGATGTTTGTGAACTAGTGGCGCTGTCAGATTCACTGTGTACTACTGACAGCCAAAGCGCTATCGTTAGTTTGGCAGCCAACTGCACCAGAGAGTAAGATAATGTTAGCTAGCTAGCTAACAGGCGGCGTTAGCTTTAGCATAACAAGAGCTCTGCTTTGGGAGTCAGCTGACAGCCTTCTGTAAGCTGCCAACAGACCTACAGACCAGTGATGGATCAACTGAAAGTGAAGGATCGCATACTGGAAAACATCTCACTGTCTGTTAAGAAGGTAAGCTCTATCCGGTTGGTCAGCACACACAGTCATTGTCACAAACTTTAAGTATTTTAACATGAATTGATGTAGCTAACGTGAGGTCATCTTTTGTCTGCAACTTTCAAGTCGGTGGGACATAAACACCAGCTCCTTGTCACGGGAGGGCCTTGCCCCTTGTGATTCAGTCAAATAACACATAGACCATTCTGTACAATTTCTTAATTCAGCTTTATCTTTTATAAGTTGTTTCTCTTATTGACCACGGTGAACAATAGTGGCATCAAGCCCCTGTGTTTGCTCACTGCGGCATGTGTTGTAAACATACCTGCAACTACATCGGGGACACATCTTTACAACACAAGCGTTAGCCCCTAGATCTTTGCTCCTAATTTACTTTGGAGTCATTAAATATTTTAGATTTTTTCGTTTACCAATGCCTGATGTTGTGAAACAGCCTTTCTCGTAACCTGAAAGACAGCATAGCATCTTCTTCTTGCTCCATGATTGTAGTTTTTACATTCACTCTCCAAAACAATGTGCATTTGTTCTGCATGTGCTTTTTCATCTGTATTTGGATCATCTGTATTTCCAGTTACGAGTTCATTAGTGTTTAATGCAATTAGCCCAGTACTGTTTCATACTTCCTTAATCCACATTTGTCTAATACACTTTCCCCGTTTCTCTCTTACATTATAAAGTCTTTGTAAGGACTGTGGAAGTGCTTTTGATGCCTCAAGCTTCCAAGAAAGTGTGCAGTGTTTACCTCAAACAAACATTGCTTAGTCATGTGGAGACAGTCACAGGATACAAATTCTCTTTCTATAGTGCCTTAATCCTCAAATATACTCTGACCTACACTTGGTTTGGTCATGCCTCAGGGTTTGAATATTTCTGTAGGTAACTGCAGGGCAGTGGGGTGCAATGAAACACCCTTAACATCATCTGCAGGAACAAACAGTACCATTTAGTGGAGCTGCCTGTCTGCATAGCACCTTAAGTTGTGCTTTGTATGTGTCAGTAGAAATGTAGAATATTTATGAATTAATCCAATCCAAGAAGATGTTGTTGATCTTACTGTGTACACTAACACATTGGATTTGAAATGAAATACAGTGACTATGAGGGTAAATGTGGCACCTTTGATCATTTATGGCATCCACATCAGATGAACAGTGTAGTAACTGTAGCCTTTTTAACACATAGTCCCCCAATCTGAGGGGACCAGATATACTTGGTTGCACATCCTTTACAACCATATCTTATGACTGGCTTAGGTCTCTAGCAGACAGACATCAGCAAGCACCTGGTGTCATCTCCGGTGATGCTCTGTCAGATGCTGCTGCCAGCTTCACTTGGCGCTTGTTTCATGGTTTACTTGCTTTCAGTCTGGTCTTCAGTAGTAAAATTGCAATATAAGGAGTAGCCGCACATTGGAGTCACAGCAGTAAAACTTGTTGGATTTAGGTCAGGAACATTCCACGGCTTGGCCCCTAAATTCCTTGGTTGCTTTGTATGTTGCATTGTAGGAACACCATTAAGCACCCTTAATGCCTAGTATCTGCTCATACTGAAGTAACTGTTCAGTGCAGACATGCAAATTAAAAAAAACCCAAAATGACTCAGTCATCAGATTAGAAATTCAAATGTATTCTTTGGCTTGTTTGCAAAATAGCCAGTTTTGCATATTTTTGAAAGCTCTCTCACTAACTTCATTGAAAAATGATTCATTTTGCCAAACTGGCTGAAGAGTCACTGGTAAGGGCTTAGAGGTAATTGTGTATATTCTGCACAGTGTGCCCTAAACAAATAGTAAATTGCAACCAAAGTTTTCAGTCACAGCTGGTTTCAGGTTTATGCAGCATACATGATAAAAACATTCCTCTCCACCCTGTTTATAATATCTTAATTGGTATAGTTGTAAAGATCTGTCCCTTGTGACTACCTTTCAAATACAATCAGATCTTGAGAGGAAGTTGCAACGTTGTGACCAGAACTGGAGATAACATGTCCCTCTCCCCAGCAAAAACAAACAGCAGAGAAACCATGTCTCTCTACAGTTGCAGAGTTACTTTGCGGCCTGTGAAGATGAGACTCCAGCCATCCGAAATCACGACCGGGTCCTTCAGCGCCTCTGTGAACACCTTGACCATGCACTGCTATATGGGTAAGAGACTTACTGCAAGTAAGCTGCACACTCGAAAGAAGAAATGTGCATAGTGCAAAGTATAATCTGGTTTGCTTCAGCTTGTTATGCAAACATTTCTTTAATAAATCATATTTAATTGTAGTTTCTGCATATGTACAACCTCATGTCTCCCTCCATGTTAACTGTCACAGTTTTGACAGCTTTTAGACCCAGGTTACAAATAATTGATCTAAGTGTGGATACGTCAAACAGTTTTTGTGCCATTGCCCTACTCCTTTTGCCCCTTTCGACCTCATACATGTGATATTATTAACTGTTTTCTACCTAACAGCTTGCAGGACATCTCCTCAGGCTACTGGGTCCTGGTCCTTCACTTCACCAGGAGAGAGGCTGTCCGTCAGATAGATGAGCTTCAGCACATAGCAACCAACCTTGGTCGAAGTGAGACATCTCTCTAGTAAAGCATCATTCATAATTCAGTGGGTTATTTGTATAGAAGATAACTTTCCTCTTCCTGTGTAGGCCGAGCATGGTTATACCTGGCATTGAGTGAGAGCTCTTTAGAGAGCTATTTACGCCTCTTCCAGGAGAACCAAGGATTACTGCAGAAGTATTACTTCAAGTGAGTCATCCAGTAACCCTGATCTTGATTACCTAAAGAATATGTCACAGATTGCTGCTATGTATCAAGCGGAAGTTATCTTGCATTTCAGGAATTACCTTCAGTTATTGTTGGAGGACAAATTGATCAAAGTATTCTTGTGTCTGAGCTGATTTTCTTCTCTGCTAGGAACGCACTGGTCTGCAGTCATGACCACCTCACACTCTTCCTCACGCTGGTGTCCGGCCTGGAGTTCATTCGCTTTGATCTGGAGCTGGTTAGCATATATTTTACGACAATATCAATAGAAATTCAGCTCTCAAATGTTAGCAGCATGTATGTAATGTTTCTGTTGGGTTCAGGATGTGCCCTATCTGGACGTGGCCCCCTACATGCCAGAATACTACAAACCCCAGAATCTGCTGGACTTTGAGGAAAGGCTGCCGAGCTCAGACAGCTTATCCCTGCACTCCTTCACGTCCCTCACCTCCACCAACCTGGAGTGGGATGACAGTGCCATAGCCCCCTCCAGTGAAGGTAAGCAGTAGGGATGTCCCAATCCAACTTTTTTTGGCCCTAGATACCAATCTGAGTATGTCAGTGTTGGGTATCTGCTGATACAGAGTCTGATCTGACACAGTGGTGATTAAATGTTTATCTGACACATTGAAATAACAGCTGTAGCCTTCTGCATTTGGCACAACTTATTTTTATGTGCTTCTTGATCCAGATACTGAAGGTCCTGATTCTAAGCTTTGAAGTTGATCTATTTAGATTATCAATATGGTGTCAATTAAAGTTAAAATGGGAGAAAGACTCCTGAAATTAACGTGACGCAGTCAGTCGGAGAGAAGACGTATCTTCCTGTTGGAGTTGTTGGGACTACAGAAACAATCCCAGCTGTGTAGTGGTGTTACAGAGTGGTGTTACCACTTCTGTTACAATCACCGGCTTACAGAGAGCACACACACCTGACAACTGCCAAGTTTAATTTGGGCCTGTCATCAAGTTACTCATTGAATTAATGTTTAAGTAGCGACAGCTGATATGACCTGCTGTCTGTGACATTTTCATTTTAATGGCATACTTTCGCCGACTGAAACAAGAAGCTGGTAGCTGAATGTTTTGCACACTGCTCTTTGCTAATAAGAGAGGAGAGATAATAGATTGGTTACAGTCAGGGGTTAATGAACCTGTGTATTTGGCAACATGGGTGTCAATCCGGTGTGATCACGTTGTTTTTAACATTCTTATTTTCACTCATATATGCAGCAGAGCTCCTGCAGTGTAGAGCCGGCTGTGGTAAAGGAAAGCAGCCTGCTGCAACACTAGCAGGCTGAGGCTGATAAAACACAGTAGAGTAAAGGCTGTATTTGAAAGCCTTCATTTTAGCTGCTACTGATCCATCTAGATATGCTTGGATCATCTTGGGAGATCTCTAGTAAGCAGCACTGGGTTGCTTTAACCCCTGTTTTAGTCAATCATTTGCTTTACTTAACCACCAGTAGCTGTCTTATTTCAGAAAAGGAACACACAGACTAACTTGAGATAGCACCATTAAATATCTGTTGTCAGTTCTATGTGCTGCTGTGTCTCTGCGTGCCTCAAATCTGGACACCCTATGGACTTAATGTGATGTGACTGTCTTGCTGAATGGCAGCCTTTATTTTTGGGTTCATGATTTGACCAGGCCGTGCTGGAGTGCAACACTCATACGCTTTGGCACAAATTCACACGGTGATCTCAGTCTAATGGCATGTTGAAAGCAGAAGTTAGATTGATCTTTGCAGACTCTTGTGACTCACGGATACCAATGTGCATTTTATCAAATGGATCACTTGGCGTGCAGAGGCTCATGGTTACAGAATGTTCTCTTTGGGGTGATTGCAGCGCTCACTGAATGCTTTCCCCACCACTCTCCACAAAGTACTCAGTTTTCCTGTTTTAGTTTTAGTTCCCTGATTCTGTTATTGCATATACCATATGTCATGTTATTATTTTTTTGTTTCTGTGCCATTGTCTCAATCTCTTGACTCCACTCCATCTCTCTCTAATGTTGAATGTTATCCCTCCTTTTTCGTAGATTATGATTTCGGTGACATCTTCCCCGTGTTGCAGTCATTGCCAAGTGCAGACTGGGAAGGTGGGACATTGGTCAACCCCTCCACTTCCTGCCCTTTCACCCCCCCCCCCCCCCTATCTGGCATGGCCATCCCGCAGTTTGTGCTTAATGCATGCTGGGTGTTCTAGCTTGTAATTAGACCTGATATTATGTAAAGTACAGCTAGCTGGTATAGAAGATTGCTGATCTGAGGACATGATATCAAGCGGGAACAAAGGGACATAAAAATGTAAAAGTGCTTCCATTTCTGGGAAAGGATTTAGTTGGATGGGATGTTGGTTTGGCTCTAAAGTTGTATGGCACGTTTCAGCCAATAACATAAATTAAGTTATGTGGTATATGACTATGATTATTGTGCACCTGGATTTGATAAACATTAAGGCTTAGTCCACGTGTACACAGGCATTTTGAAAACAGTCCACACCAAGTGGAAACCTCTGGGGTGGAAAAATGAAGCTAACGTGGAAGTGCCAAAAACTGCAGTTCTTTGAACTGGCACTTGAGGCTGGCTCCATTGGCTAGTCAGTCCCTGCAGATCCCAATCGTAAAATGCTCAACTTTAAAGCAGAAATAAACGTGTTTACAGCCTGGTACAAAAAACAATTTTGGTCTGTATAGTTAATTTCACTCTTGATAACTGTACTGGAGGGGATTTCATATATAACTCACCTGTTCACATTTTATTAAGGCTTAAAGTTACGCATAATTAATGGCGGGCTGCTTTAAGTGACAGGCTCTCCGCCGACAGTGTCCTGGAGGCTTCAAAACTGGAGGCCATAAACTAGTGAGTGGCTTTGCGGTAGCTACGTCCATTATTTTTACAGTCTGTGGTCCACACAAGCACTGTTTGTCCATCCAAATGAAAACGCAAAAATACAATTGATATTCTGCCAAGAGCATGCCAAACCAACAGGCTGTGATATAACCCTAACCTTAAAGCCACACAGAGAAGAAGGAAGAAGATGTTGGCCAATCAGAAGCACTCTGATGTTACAAGCCAAAAACTGAAAATTGAGTTCCTGAAAATCTTCACCCTGGACAAAGTTTGCATGTGGACGAAGTGCTAGAAACTAGAAAAAGCAAAGTTTTCAAATATAACCATGTATACGTGGACTAGGCCTAAAAAAGAAGCCAATAGCTTAATTTATTATTGTACGAACAAACCTGTATGTTCATTCTCTCCTAAAACCACCCATGAAACAAGAGGGTTTATCTAACTGAAAGCCTCCTGCTGCCACACATTTGTTATTTCCAATAAAATGTGACAGCATACATACATTTTTGGTAAAGTTTTTCTTAATGAGCATCTTCTGATGAGTACATGAACAAAAATACAAGGTATCATCATACATAATAACTTGACTGGTAAGTTTGGGAAGTAGTTCAGCTCTTTGGTTCACTGTGAATTCAGTGTTGGGTGGGGTACTGGTATTTGTCATGTTGTGCATGTGTTACTCATCCAGGGAATGATCGTAACGCTCACTCTGCCTTTTTATTTACCACAGCAAGATAAATGCGTGGCGTACTGCCTGGTACTCACCTCGTCCAGTCTGTGTCCATTACACTGTGTTATCTGTTTGTCTGGTATATCTTGTTTTTTTGTAATGTCTTCTCTTCCTGTGTGGTATGTGGCACTGGCCTTGGTACAGCTCAACTGTAGTGTGAGTGAGGTAATAAGCAAGAATAGTTGCTCAAAGTCACAGAGTGCAAATTCCCTTGTGTTACCACAGCACCTGCTTGCAGTAAGCTTGTCAATTTTTTTGTAGTTGGATGAAAACATAACTGTTAATCAAAGTAAGTAGTGGAAACAGCATCAGAGAAATTGGGGGATGTTTTCAAATGCGATTGTAGGATCTCTAGTGATTTGGTCTATGCCATAGCTTGATCCATCCTCTCATGATGAGCCAAAAATGCTGATTCCTGCAAATTATATTATCTAAATAATTGTTTAGTATGACCCATCTCTAGCTGCAGAAGTAATGCTTGATCTAGGCGCGTGCCACTGCAAAGAAAGCTGCTGCCCTTGTACCTACTTGGTGTTTTACGCATCGTGTTTGTGCCTCTCTGACCCTGCCAAAGAACAACAAAGAGCACTGCAGCCATTAACATTTGTCTGTGTGTGATGCTGAGGAAGAAATACACAAAGTTTTTGTCAGATTGTTTCGGTGGTAAATGTTCCATTGGTGAAGAACAGTTGGATAGTCCAACTACAGATAGTTTCTAGAGTATTTGTAACTTTTCAAAAGCTAGTTGAAATTCAACAATTGAACTGTTACGCTTTATTCTGCAGTTTTTTTATGGATTATCTGAAGAGTATATGTGACAATTTATGAACATACCTACATATTTTCTGAATAATTTTCACTCAACCCATGCTGCATAGGTTGAGTGTACAGTTCAAATTCAACTAAATTATTCTGTGAATATGTGGTGAATTGTCACAACTATCTGTGACACCATAAAGTGTTATCAAACTTTTTGATGTCTAAGTTCATCAGTCAGCTTACCAAGGAGACACTGACAAAAATTCAGTGTATTTCTTTCACATGTAACGAGCTAAATGTGGGTGACTGTGACTTTAATATTAACTGTTGGTGTTAATTTTCATGTTAGAGGGCGACCTGACGGACCAGGCCAGCTGCCCGCGATCCAGTGGCTCTGATCCCCAGACAGTCATCAGCGACACAGTGGTCCTCTCAGCAGGCACCGTCAAGGTGAAGGTAGCAGCTCATCTTTCTCCTCACAGCCCCACGTTCAGACACAACCCCTTCAACGAGGACTCGGACACTAACACCACAAACACTTCAGCCGACGTCACACCAGTTCATGTGGCTGGCCACCACAACCCCACCGCTACTGGAGAAGACACAGAGAGCACTAGCAATGAGCTGGAGGTCATCAGGTACAGTAGCTACAGCTTCAGTATTTAGGCTCAGGTTTTGTTTGTGCAGTTAATTATATAGTATTAGAATGGAGGAACCGCAGCTAACCACTCTGGTCTTCCAGGATGGCCAGACGAAAGAAACCAGCCAAGAAGCGTAGAGGGAAGGGCTCCACAGATTCCAGCAGCAGCATCCATAACTCTATCTCCTCCGAGCACATGGAAATGGACAACAGCCTCCCGGCCTCAGAGGATGTGTATTCATTAAACGGGACTGTAATTCAGCTGGATGATGAGGCAGAGTTGAGGAGAAGCAGGGTGGGATCAGAGGTTGTGGAAGAAGGAGATGAGGACGGAGTAGAAGGCCTCCTACGACTCCCAGAGATGACTGACACCTCCATGGACACCGTGGGCCAACCCCTCCGTGATGTCATGGACCGGCTCAACGGGGCTCTGGATAAGGGGGAGGCCTGGGAGCACAGAGAAGACGGGGAGGAGACAAACAGCGGAGGCTGTGACCAGAACCCCGAGCCCCCTGCCCGGCAGCCCTTTCGAGAGGACTCAGGGGGCAAGCCTCCCGACCCATCACCAGGAGAGGCGTCTCACTCCCCTCTGGCCACAAGCCACAACTTCCTTCAGACCTCTCCTGCACCCGCAGACTTATGCTGCTTTACCCCCAACAGTACAGACTCTTCTCCCACGGGTGGTGGCCACTATGACTCTACAGAGCATAGCCAGTCGCAAACTCTTTCAGGTGGCCTTGAAGATGAAGGAGCGGCAAAAGCGTCAGCAGGACAGGAGCCTGAGATGAAGACCTGGGACGAAGGAACAGAAGGAGAGTCAACCAACAAGAATGCGTTTGCTGATGAAGCAGAGAGTTCTCATCCTGCAGAGTTTAAGTAAGGAGTTTCTACAAAATGAGTTGTTGTTGTAATGTTGTTAAAAGTGAGTCTAATTTTTTTTTGTTTTTTATATTTCAGGGTGGACAACAATCACTTGCTCCTTCTCATGATTCATGTATTCAGAGAGAATGAGGAGCAGCTCTACAAGGTGAAAACAGAAATACATTCTTTTGAGAAAATGTGAATGTATTTGTTTAAAGATTTACCATCTAGGACTTTAACAATGCAACATTCAAATTTGTCCCCTCCTCCCTACACTTCTTATACATACACTGCAAGCTACTATAGGAGAAACCTTACATTTGTTGTAGTGAAAGAGCCATTGGCTACACACCCATAAACGTCCAGAACACAGCAAAATAAGAAAATACAGGTAGAGGGCTCTGCAGATAAAATGCACAACCACACACTTTTAGTGGATCATAAGTGATTTTTTAGAGCTATTATTTCTGTATGAACCTATAGATTTTGCACAGTACATCTTTTCATGACTCAACTGTAAAATTAACAATTGAATGATAAAATATGGAGAAGTAAGGCAGTACAGTGATGTCATGGTCTTTCACCAGCCTGGAAAAAAAGATCATCTTGAAAAGGGATTGTCTATCACACTGCCACATTTCTTCACAGTTTAAGTGTTGTGTTAGTGTTGACTCATATTTGTTTTGACATGGAAGAAGTGGTTTGGAGATGTTTGCTCAGTGGAAGTGTTGCAAGGCTCTGTTTGCCAGTTGCCTTTTTAACTGATTTTACTCAGGCTGTCGTAATTAGTCTCCCTGGTTTGCACTAAACTTTGCAAACCAATAAAGCATATTTACTACAGATCACATTAGAGCTTAACATTATTTCAGTTATCAAGTGAATGAAGCTTGTTTGTGATAAATGAAATTTTACAGCTGATGATGGGCTATCCGTTTACAAATTAAGTCTGTATAGTCTGTTATGAGCTTTGCTTGTAGCAACACTGTGCTATAGCCAGTCTGCTGCCCAGCTGCTGTAACCAACCCCCAAGGCGACAGATGAATATGGAGTTTGCTGACACTTGACTGTGTTTATATTTGTGTTTTCAGATGGTGAGAATGAGCACAGGCCACATGGAGGGGGACCTGCAGCCCCTGTACCTGCTACTGACTGACTGTTACATCTACCTGCTGAGGAAGGGTAAGTAGCTAAAAACCCAGCATGCATTTGCTTCATTACATGTGTAAAGGCCGTTGCACACTGAGTCAGGGTTTTTTTTCGGATGCTATTTTTTTTAATCCATCATCTGAAAAGAAAGTCATTATGCACAGAAACCTTGCACACTGATTCTGATGCGTCCACATCCTCCTCATCTTCATCATTATCATCCACCTGCATATTACTCTCTGACCTGTTGAAAGTGAGCTATCTGAGTTCCGAAACGATTCCCTGTTCCCCTGTCTTGTCACGGCTGTTTCCCAGCGTCATATTTTTTTCACTGATTCTTGGTCAAACAGGCTTCTGACGGACTCCAAAAATGCAGAAACCAATTTTAATGACTCAGTGTGTGAACATGATTGTCACAGGATGAGGACACATTTATTTTTAGACGTGTGACAATTTCGGATGAAAAAAACGGACTCAGTGTGCAAAGGACTTAGGTCATAAGTTGGGACATACTGATATTGGTATAGGGAGTCACAATACATTTTTACACACATAGGAAACAGTATTTGATCTCAGAATTTCCTTCCTTTGGGAATACAATTTTGACCATGACTGTTTGAACCAATAGCCCATTTGTACCAGCAACCCTGAGAGTTTCTTTTTCCAAGATCCGAGCAGATCTGAAAGTTTTCACCACTGTAATGGTCCCATAGGCTCCACACTATGTTCTAGGAAGTGGGGAACACATTAAATATGGTTATTCTGTATTCTGAAAATGCTTCACATTAACATGTGCTTAATGCATGTTTTGGTTGTGCTTTTGTTCCCTCCACAGGTGCAGCAGAGAAGCCCTACACAGTAGAAGAAGCTGTTTCTTATAATGAATTGGACTATCTTTCAGTAAGTGTCCTGCACAACAGGGTCTGCCATTTTCTCTTATTTGTATGTGACATGGGCCTTATGGTCATCTTTGGTTGAGTGTTGGTATAGCATCTTTTTCAGTTGTTCCCAATGAGGAGAGAGCGTATGCGGCCTCCTGGTTCCACCAAGCATCTTTGTTTTGAGCGCTCTGACTTTTTTGTGTGGCCACTCTGAGCACTTCTAGTTGAAAATTGGAACTTTTCAGAAAGGCACTGGTGTCCTCAGCACCATGCCAACACTTTTCTGCCAGAAAAAAATCGCTATATGGACACTCATCCTAAAGGATCTTTTAGTTCCTTGATGTTACAAAACATGTATGAGTTAATAGAGTTGCATGTTTTCGTTGTGCAGTGCTGCATTGGCCCCAACTGTCAAGTCATGGTTGAAGTTAACTACATGATATTCATGAGCCATGTAGACTGGAATACAATGTGACTGCTGGAGCTGTGGAGCACAAAGTTGTAATGCTGTTTTCTTTTAGGTGGGCCTTGACCAACAGACAGTGACGGTAGTTTGTACCAACAGGCGAAGGAAATTCCTGTTAGACACAGCTGACGCCTCTCTGACTCAGTGAGTGTGCCTGTATATCTTTGCTTTATGTTTCTTGGTACTGTGACCCTATACTATGTCTTTGTGAGCTGTCCTTGTGTCCCTGAGCAACATGCGCCATACAGGACACCTCACAAAATGGATGATTGATAGTTTCTCTGAACTTATCCAATGCATTCTGCTTCACTTACAGGTGGTTCTTGTCTGTGCTCAAGTCAGCCATGGTGAAGGGTTGTCGTGAGCCTCCTTATCCCTCTGTGCTGACTGATGCTACCATGGAGAAACTGGCTCTCACTAAGTTTATCTCCCAGGAATCTCACTGTGAGGTAAAGTCATGTCAGTCTACACAAATACAGTGAGATAAACTTGGAATACATGTAACTAATCAAACTTTAATCATACGACAAAATTACAAAATCTTGTCTTAACCAGGACATTAAAGTGTTAAGTATTACAGCCCTCGACTGTACTTAAAACTCAAGTAAAGAAAAGAAACCTTTTGGAAAATCTGTGACACAATAAACTTGTTATTACAACTCATAGCTGACGTGTGTGGCAAACGGTAACACTCAGAAATGCACAACATTTTTATTTTCTAAGTATAACACAAAATAGTATGAGTGCCTAGTAGCTCAGTACAGTGGGTGTCCCATGTACAAACGTAATGTCTTTGCTGTAGTAATATGTTGCTGTTTCTCCAGGTATATGAAGTGTCTATCCAGCTGTATTCACTGGTCCACTGGGAGGATCCTATGGACTTGACTTTGTCACCCCAGGGAGGCGCACCAACCTTTGGACCACCGTCCAGCACCAAGGAAGGGACTCTGCAGTACCGGGCTGGAACCACCTACCTGGGCAAAGAGCTGTGGAAAAGCTGCTACCTCGTCCTCAGGTATGAGCAAGATGTACACATTAGTACCCCTCTCAGCTAGTATTAATGATTCTTGAGAGACATTGGCTGGGTTCCATACTATACACTGTACATCTGACATTAACCTTCCCACATTGTGTATTAACAAGGTGGAAACAGCTCTTTCCTTTACAAATGAAAAGCATTAATGTCAATTTTCATTGTCATATTTATTACAGTTAAAGGAGAAGTCCGGTATTTTGCACTTTGAGCCCCATTTCTGGGTTGTACAATTTTTATGTCAGAACATCAATGAACACCACTGACCACTCGGTCAGTTTCATGGCTTTGAAAAAGAACGTTTAGGGTGGTTTTAGGACAGGTTCACACATGACCATAGGCAGCAGTGTTAAGCCAGGCAGGGGAAAGCCAAATTCTCCAAAAATGAGCAATCATCACTATTTTGGTCTTAGCCACTCTGTTTCATCATTAACAACCCAGAAATGGGGCTCAAAGTGCAAAATACCGGACTTCTCCTTTAAGATTGACATCTAACATACTGTAATCCTAAGTGTGAATGTGGAGTGCCAAAAATTAGATCACATGCACCATAATCACCAGGTCTTACTTCCCTACTTGAGACTTCTGCTTCAGTGAAAAATGCCAGCATATTGGAAATAATATTTCCTTTGGCTCCGCATTACTGCCAGACATACTGAGAGCTTGAGCTGTGTTTTGTGTGTAGAGCGCATTACCAGCAGATTTCCTGCCAATCTGTCCAGAGGCACACCAAGTTTAAAAGACAACACAGATCGGAGCCTGACTGTTTTTTGGCAGTGGTCTTGCCTATCGCAGTAGTAGCAGTCATATCTTAAAATGAATGTGTTAAAATTTGTTTTTTGTGGCACCTTGTTAAGAAACAAGGCTGAGAGTGTAAAGGCTTCTCTGGTGGCCCATATGCTGCATTTCCACTGCATGGTTCGGCTCAACTCCTCATTTTTGGTACCAGGTGCTTATCTCAATTTCATTTTACACTGTAGATAGTACCCTGTCAGTGTAGGCAGAATTCTTAGCTGACCGTCATAGCGTTGCAGCGTGAAACTGCAGTGACATTATCTGCAACCCAACACAGCATGTGTCGCACCATTCATCTCTCTGGATCCTTTCATTGACAACCAACCAGAAGAATATATGCACTCCATCATTTGACCACGGTGTGGATTTGTAGGCTGCCCAAAATCTTGGTCGAGTGAATGAAGAAAAATCATAGTCATAGTTGACAGTAGCTCAGCTATTTAGAAGTGGCAGGCTTGTGACGGCTGTCCCTTGTCGCACAAGTGGTCTGCTATGTTTTAATTCCACCTGCTTGTATCGGCTCAGCTCGTTTGGAACCTCAAACAAGGTATTACAATGAAAGAGTATCAGGTATCAGGCACTATCCACAACTTGGAATGGAAATGCAGTGGAAATAAGGCTTTTGGGGCCCAACAAACCAAAATGGTTTGAAAGAATTGTTTCTGTGACATTGGCACCGTTACACAACAGTGTATTCTTTGAAAGCTTATTTATTTATTAAATACTATATAAGAAAACATGTCCAGCTTCTGATTAGATGAATATAAATAGCTGTCCTCTTGTCTTGCAGTAAAGGGATTTTGTACCTGTATGCAGAAAGAACTGATGTGACACCTCTGCTATCAGTCACTATGGGGTAAGCATGCATAATACCAGGACGCTAGATGAAATTCAGCCATCATTAGTTTTATAATCTACTCCTGTGCTTTTCCTACTGTGACATGTCTGTATGTCTTCTGTGCAAAAGGTCCATTAGATTAGAGATGGTTAAAACTTGTAGTATATAAACAACTCTCAAAGAAAATGGTGTTTACTGATATATTTTCATGCTCTGTGTGCCTAACAGAGGAGAGCACTGTGGAGGATGCCGTCGCTCAAACAGCACAGAGCGTCCCCACGCCTTCCAAGTCATCCTGACAGAGCGACCGCCACTGGAGCTCAGCGCCAACAATGAGCAGGACATGGCCGACTGGATGCAGCTGCTCTGCCAGTCTGTTTCCAAAGGGGTGAGGAGTTGCATAGTGCATACACCATGTGTTTACCAAACACTTCATACATATCTAAGATTGCATGTATGGTGTCTCAATTTTTTAATAGATGCAGGGGGATAATAATGGGTGTCACACAGTCTGCCTGGTCATTTGTTCACACAGTTTTACGCAGCCCATAAAAACATTGTCAGACTAAAACTATTCAACTATGTAGGTACGCACATGCTACAAGACTGTCAATACTGTAAGTGTACATTTACATCAAAAATAAACAAACATGCTGAATTACGACAACCAGCACTTGTTCTCATGGCAGTATCATGCAACGCACTCGTTGTGATATCCCACACATTGTTGCATTTAATTTGAATTTAAGTGTGAAAATTCACAAATCAAGTTGGCTTGGCTTTTCTCACAGCTTTCAACCAACCAGGAGTGACTGTGCATAAACACTTTTTGACAAACAACCCCTGTAGCATTCACCGCGCTGGTTGTACAGGCTGTTTTCTTCCCTGATGAAATTCACAAGGACTTTGTTACAACAGCTGCTGATGTTCATAATGTGCAAGACACATCCAGGTTGTTGATGCAAAATGTAAATATGGATTAATGTAAGCCGCAATTATTTATTCAAATTATAATTAAATTACAGCCGCCTTCCCTGCAGGTCATCCCTCAGGGCGTGGCCCCCACTCCGTGTGTCCCGTGTTGCCTGGTGATGACAGACAGGAAGCTGCTTACCTGCCATCAGGACTGTCAGACCAGCTTTTTCCGTTCGTTGGACAGCGCCGACATCTGTGATGTCACTGCTGTCAGCATGGAGGCCAACAAGGAGTACTGTGTCATTGTGAGTTGCAAACTGTTTAACTCTTCTCTAGTATGTATTAGACTTTAACTAATAACTTTATGTATGTATCATGTGTGATCTGTATGCCACACAGTTTTAATGTAATGACATTAAGCTACATATCTAAGTTGTCCTGAGTTTTTAGAAATGTGCTTTTGCTCAAGGTATGAATGCCTATTAAAACTAAATAATATGATTTGTGATGCTTTACAAACCAGATGCAAACCTCATTAATTTTTTGCAGATTCAGATAATGTTGAATGAATGAAATGATTGATTTTTTAAAAACATATGAAAGCAGCTCCTCCATGCTATCCTAATGCAAATAAAGTGTTAAAGAAATGAAGCCTCATTAGCTTACAAGACACACATCACATATCATGCTATAGTTTGTGTGTATAACATAAAAACTAGACTAACTTACTTGGGTATTAGTTGCATTCATGTAAAAGGGTCTGGTGCTTCCTTAAACATTTGAGACCTCATGGCTCTAGGGTTTAGTTAAATGCTAGTGAAATTTTGTTATGAAATACCTGTCACCACAACATTTTCTTTTGTAATAAATAAATGACAAAGTTTAATTTCTATTAATGAACTTTTTCCAAATCGGACCATGAGAAGCGTGAAATTACTGAACAGAGCACATCTGTTAGTTACAGCTTCCAAACTCACATGATGATGATGATGGTTTAGTTTTACCTAAACCAAGGGAACCGTTTGTTATGCATGTAGTTGACTGAGATTTCATCAAGTCAGTCATTGTGCAGCTACAAGATGTAGCTGCAGAGTGAGCGCTTCATGTTGTTTGTAGGTAGAGGCAGCTGCAGACCCAGACCCAGGATGAATCTGAGTGAGACAGAGGCAGCTGGCCAGGAGGAAGAGAGGCTTTGCCTGTTAAGGCTCCATGATAAAGTTATCTTCGGCTTTCTGCTTAAAAGTGGTGAATTTACAGCTCACAGCAACTTAATATGTTATAGGCTCTGGCTTTTGTTTGATATCTAGTGCCAGCAAAAAATGTTGTTACAAATTTCCGAGCCGTCATTATCATAGTTACTATACATTAGCTCAGAGGGCTAACTTGGCCTGTTCACAGTATTACTTGCATGTTACCATTGCCCTGTACCCTGTGTATCTAAAGGTGTTGTAAACAATTAACAGACAGTACATCACATATACCAGTGTATAGTAGTGGTATAATGCAATTACATTGAAGACCTTTAATATAACCCTTCCCACTTTCTCTCACTCCATAGGAGTTTGCGGCAGATCGGACCCAGTTCCTTCCTCCGTGGGTGTTGTACTTCAGTGGCTGTGAAGAGAGAGATCGACTGCTGGAGGTGTTAGACAACACATGGAAAGCCATTTTCCAGGTACGTTATCAGTGGCTTAGAGGAAAAAATCTGTACTATTGCAATATTTGCTGTCCTAAAGGTATTAGCATTTAAGACCTTAAATCCACCAGCTATCCATCTGGGTGAACCCTCATGTGTGTCCTCACTACACGCAGGTCGACCTTCCCCACAGAGAAGTGTTGGATCCATCCATGCAGAAGCGTTGTGGTGAGGCCCTTGCCCTCATGAATAGTGCCTGGCAGAGGGCAGACAGTCTGGCCCGAGGCAGAGCCCAGCGTGAACCCTGGTGCTGACAGACACACACATGCATGCATACAGTTACCTGTGGGTAGCCACTGAAGCTGTTTTACAGTATGATATGATTTCAGTATAGATGGATTTAACTCTGACATACAGTCTGTGTCACTGTCAAGTGAGTTCTAAGGTGAAAATCAGATGTGGTCATTGGTTTTTGCACTGCGGCGTGAGCTTGTTGCACCTTTGATTCACTGATGAAATGTTTCTGTCAGTGAAACTCTCTGCAGAAGTAGCAATGCATATGGCACAGCACATTGCAGTGATGCAACAGCAAGACATTCTAACATGAAATAAAATGTAATGATGGAATACTAACAGAAGGTTCTAAAAGATTTGATCTGATCCTAGTGATACATTGCTATTATTCCTTTATCAGAGGTCCTGAAGAAATAACAGCAATGATGAACAAATAAACAATCAAGAAAAAATCACATGTTGATGGAAAAAGCTCTGTAACAGATTGTAAGCGAAACCTCATGGTAAAAAGCATGGAATTACATGAAGAAGATAATTATTAGAATGGATGATTGCAGAACTCGGGAAGACTTTTGACACCAATCTTCAATACGCTGTGCATTCAAATATATCCTGCTGAAATGAGTTTGAGCATTTTGTCTCCACAAAGTAAACGTCAAAAGTCAAGCCGTGACTTTGTCATGTAGACAGGACTGAAAAAGTTTAAAACATATTTAGTACACTAAGGAAGCTGAGTGTGGAGGAAGACAAGGATCCATTACCAGCAGCTTCCCTGCACAATGAAATAAGAGAATTATTCATGTTTTCTTATAAAAAATTAATGTTATATATGTCAAGAAAGCCATATATATGAAGGGGGCGGTTAATGCTTGCTTGCGACATGGAAAATTTCATACTCCTTGCCTTGCACGCACACACAAGTAACCGTCTGATCCCACAAGTCACAACTGTGTGTGAAGATTACAGTCACTCCTTGCTTAGTAACCCTTACTATGGTACATGAAGAGAGCAAATGTACAGCACTGTACAGTATCAATGCGTAATCACTGACGGGTTGTGTACGTGTCTGAGTTTCGGTTTGTCTAACGGCACATACCTCTACACACTGAATTATTGTTGCATTGTACATTAGCTTGAGAGAATAAGGATCTCAATATGAAGAATATGTGGATATACTGAACAGTTGCACTGTTACGTGACATGCCTGTGTCGTCTATCTGAGATCGTGCTTTATCAAGTTCAGTGTCACTCAGATGAAAAAAATCAGGAAATGCAACAGACTTGCCTTTTATCTCCGCTCCGTAGAGACGAGTGGAGGCTTCCATGCAGACTTGCACATTGTTTTCGCTGTTAGTCTTTTTGTTTTTTTAACGGTACCAGTTATGGTTTTGTGTTAATATCGTAATGTGCATTTCTGTTTCCATTGTAGAGAAAATGGGAACAATTGTTACTAAATTATTCAGCTGAGTGGGGACATTTTGTGTCGGTATTAATATCTGTGTTTGCATCTGCAGACGTGTGCGTCCCCTTTAGTGTGGGCAAGTATCAAGTAAGAATTACAGTCTGTGTGAAGAATCCGTTACTGAATGAGAGCTACAAGTTGTCTTAGCTTGCCATTTTTATTTTGCACCAGTGGTTGGTGGCATACTAAGATCTGGCCACCCCACTAATTTAGAACATCCCTTTCTGCACTAGTCTTTTAAGACCATGTTGGAGGTTCATAGAATGAAGTTTAAAAATAAGGCTAGAAATTAAATAGCCTTTCAACTTAGAGCAAGTGTAGCATCTGCTATTATCAGATTAATGCTTTTAAGTAATATTAATTAATATTTAATAATATTAAAGCTTTACTTGGAGAAGGAAAACGAATGATAAGACCCTAAACCCTTTCTAGTTTCCCTACAAATTACAGTCAGTAGATGATAGTGCATGTATTACAATCTGCTCTTAACATTAAGACTGATCAGAGTACTGCTGCTCAGTCAATGACAGTGTGTAAGTGCTCCCATTACAAGGCTGAGATCAGCGTGATATTACTTTTGCAATGACAATGTTGCCTTTTTGACAACCTCGACTGAACTGGACAAAATGGCCAATTCGTTTAAACTAAATGAAGCATTATTAGTTCCTTTTTGGGGTTGCCTTACACTGTATAATTTGGCTGACGTTGAAAAGCTTAAACAATCATCTTAGGTTTATGTTGTGGTTCAAGGCAAAAAATGTGCTGTGTATAAGGCTGGGTCTCCATCCTTAATAGTTTGTGAGTACAGACATAATGGTGTCTATATTGAATGTTTTCTCTTAAATGTGATTATATTCTGCAAAATATTTTACACTCAAAAATACCGTCATGGTATATTTTCCAAAACTCTGATATTTAAAAGGCACCAGTATAAAAACCTTCAAATGATACCCAGCCCTATCACATGTCACTTATGTATGTTTGTTTGAAATGTCTTTCTCCGTCACACTGTATTACTTTCACATCAGCATTAATCAGTATCAGTGCTTTAAGCCTTTCTAAGTGCCACTCGGTCTCATTTATCTTCTGCTCTTTGACAAAGAAATCTAATCTCAGGTGAAAAAGGTATGTCACATCCAAAACCTTAACACTCACCGTCTGTTTTTTTGTTTTTTTTTTTGTTTTTATTGCTGCTGTTTTGTCTAATTCAGTATTTTTTAAATCCCGTTTTTCTTTTTTAGTTTGATACAGCATTATGAAGTTATTTTGCGCACACAGACGAGGCTGCAAAGTGATATTACATGTTGGAAAAGGTTTTATATAAAAGTCCTTTAATAATTCAGTGGGTTCCAAAATAGGATCAGTTGGCTGTGTAGTAAGAATCGTCCCCACCCAGTGGGTTGCCTAAGGACTTTTTGACCAGGGAGAGTACACTTGCAATAGTTGGACTTACTTGAAATGTCTGTTGGATTATCAGTAAAGAATAAATTGCGTAGATTTGTGGCCTATGAAGTGTATATAAAGAAAAAGTCTTGAGCAGTGTTTTGAATGTGGGGCATTGCTGGCCAATGATGGATGACATCTTCTAAGTAATGCATTGTGAAAAAGCGCTTTTTGATTTTTGTTTATAAATGTATACTGCATGTAATATTTGTATGATGTTTAGCAGTTTTATTGAATTGTAAATAGAGCACTAATCAATTATAACATACTGTACACTCACACGTAAAGACGTGCATGTCCAGAAGGTTTAATGAATGTACAGATAAACCTTTGTGATTGGACAGTGTAACTGAATAAACCGAAATGAAACCTTGGCTCCTGTATCATGTGTTGTATGTACCAGTGTCTGCGCTTTTAACATCTCTATCTCTGTTGTAGGTCAAACCACTGAAATGCTGTGCATTCAAAACACAAGGACAGTCATGTTAGAGCAGGTACAGAGGATTCACAGGTAAGAGGGCAGTTGTGTGTTAGGTAAGCTGTCTGCTTTGAATAACAAATGTAGTCTCCATTGCTTACTGCAACTCTTGCTATAATCCCAGTGCATCTCAGAGGATGGTTGTCAGCACAAAGACTGCAACAAAAAAGCACACAGACTGTAACATTTCTGTGGGAGTTGATTTGTTGGTAATTAGTGCCAGTGACTCAGTAGTTTCCTGCTTAGATTCCTCACTTGTAAAGCTCACTGTTTTAAAACCAACACCGCTGGAAGACAGTTAAGATACAAGGAGTGGAAAGCCTTGTTTTCAAAATTGATTACTTTATTGCCTTATCAATATGGCTGATTGGAATGTGTCTCAGGGAGCTCATTTAAAAACAAAGACAAATTAAGACAAAATCATAAAACCATGCACTCATAAATAAGGCACATAAAACATTAAAGTAAAAACAGATAGAGTAATACCCAATAATCTAAAAATAAAAACAAATGGATAAAATGAGCTCGAACACATAAGAGCACTATAGATAAAACACTCGTAGGAAAATTGCAGCAACATCAAACAGCCAGCCAGATAAAATGCTTCAAGTATATTAAAAACATCTGTAATTGCACAATTTTTCTAACCAAAAAAGCAATTGTTATTTTAGTGCTCACTGCTGTATGTTGTGCTCTTTCAGAAACAGAGCTCCACTTACTTGTAGTCACCAGTAGAGGTCACAGAAGAAGCTCCTCTTTAAACCTGTTATTGACAAGAATGTGGTCTGTCTATGATATTGTACATTTAATGAAGATAATAAGCAACTTAAAACTAGAGACTTATTTATAGCTTTTACACGATATGACCGAAACTACTTAAGGATCAGTGTCTAGGATTTAGAGGGATCTATTGGCAAAAATAGAAGTGTATGATCATCTGACACCAAGAATCACTGTGTTTTGGTTGCTTTAGAATGAGCCCTTTATAGCTACATATGTTAGGTCTCTACACACTTGGAAAATCATAATCACCACTAGATGCAATTTAATCTTACACACCAGTCCTTCAAGTGCATGTTTGGTTTGGGGCTGTTTGCCTTGGATTGTACAAGGCTCCTTAACTCCAGTTAAGGGAAATGTTTTCTCTCATTAACAAATGAAATGAATGAAATCATTAGCACTCACAAATAAGTATGTAACACTTTTAATGATGCACAGCAGCAAAGGGAAACAGATGCATTTCTGAGGCATCTGCGGGTGTGACCTCTTATAAACAGCAGTGAAGAACCTGCTGGTTAACCACAAGCTGATACACATCATCAAAACAACTTCATCAAAAAAATTATATTCTCTTCCTGCAACAAGTGACCAACTGATTTACACACCAACAACAGAAAAAAACATATGTAAATATCCTGTGCAGAACCTCCATATAAAATACAAACCCATATACAACATTTAAAAAAAACATCAAAACCAAATACTAGTAAAAAAATTGTAGTGACAAAACATAAGTCATAAGAAATATATTCTGTTCATGCAACAACCAGATAAGTGACCGACTGATTTACACACCAACAACAGAAAATGTATGTATGTACATATGTAAACTCATCATGTGCAGAACCTCCAGGGAAAATACAAATGCATATAGACCTACAACAATAAAAACATAATCATCAAAAGATAAATACTAGTTAGATAAACAGTAGTAAGAAAATATATATTGCATTCTGTTCTTGCAACAACCTAATAAGTAACTAAATAATCTGCACACTAACAATAAGAAACTGCACATATACATATGTAACTCATCATGTGCAGAACCTCCATAGAAAATATAATTACATCCACATAAGTAACACCCAACTGTATTTATAAAAAATTAAGACAACAGCAGTTCATCATTTAAGCCCCCTCATTTTCTCTCCCTACCTCCTCCCCTCAGCTGTGGCCTAACAGCCTGAACACCCATAAAACCTAGTGACATACTCTGGTCAGCAGAATCACTTAAGATCATATTGCTGCAGCACACAATCATATTTCAGCCAACAGTGTGCCTCCAACTGTGGGGCAACAGTTTGTCCTGTTTCAACATGACAGTAAACCCAGTGCCAAGAAATGTTTTTGTGGTATTAGTATTGCTAAGAGGTGGACAGTAGCATGTAGCTTTGGAATAAGATGTTCAGCAATCACATCTAAGTGTAAGGATCAAGGTTCCACATACTTTTGGCCATGCAGTGTTTTTAACAAAGGGACAGTTGCTGAACACAACAAGCTCTTCCAGAACCACCCTATGTCTTTGTATTACTCATATTTCCAGTTGCAGTTACTCAGCACAGCCTCGGTCGCTTACAGCTGTCCACCAGGTGGGGCGGTAAGTAGGGGTGGGAATAGCCAGAGGACCCATGATGAGATATTATCACTTAGGTCACAATACGATATTATTGCAATACTGCAATATACTGAGTACTGGGATACAATATATTGCGATATATAGCGAATTATTACCTTTTTTCCAACTGCAAATTATTTCCCCAAAGGAAGATTTCGTCACCATCAGTTTTACCCCATAAGATAAAGTTTTCAGTCTGTTTATCTGACTTTGATCATTTTTCATTTACTATTCCAGTACCAAAAATTGTATTAAAATGTCCGTCCATCCATTTATGTAACCGCTTATCCTCTTGAGGGTCACGGGGGGCCTGGAGCCTATCCCAGCTGACATTGGGTGAGAGGCAGGGTACACTCTGGACAGGTCGCCAGACTATCGCAGGGCTAACACAGAGACAGACAACCATTCATGCTCACGTTCACACTTACGGACAATTGAGAGTCACCAATTAACCTATCCCCAACCTGCATGTCTTTGGACTGTGGGAGGAATCCGCAGTACTCGGAGAAAACCCACACTGACATGGGAAGAACATGCCGCCCTCATTTTCTGATTTGATGTATATTATTTGAAGTCTTCTGATCATATACCTTTGTGATTGTAGCGCCTTACAAATACTACAGAGGTTGAGATTTGAATGATCAATGAGATCTTCTCCAAAACGTTGAGAATACAGATCTACTTAAAGATCACTGAGTTAACTTAGCAACAGTACCAGCTGTAATGTGTTCATAGTGAAAAGAAGATAGCATCCAACTGAGCAGTTAATGCTCACAGCCTCGGCTATTATTGATTATTATCTTTTTGTAGTTGCTAGGGCAACAAGTTATGCTGGTCTTGTTCGAATGCATTTTTATTATTTTAGCAGCATAATAATGTCACCTTGGGTGTACTTGTGCTGTTACCATGGTTTCAGCGAGGCATTAACTCCTCTCCCTGTCTATATTGTTTTCTCTGCACACTACAATACAGAGCTGCATCAAAGACTTCTTATTTCAAGCAGAGCTGCAGCAATGGCTGATGGCTGACAGAGAGGAAGGTGAGGGAAAGACACATTGATCCACTGCAGGAATGGAAACTGACAACACAGCAGGAGGCATAGGCAAACTGTCAATGATGCAGTTTACAGACTAGAAGAGAAGGTTAACAAGCGCTGAGATGATCAGTCAGCATTGACGGGACTGAACCCAACACCCAAAAACAGTGAAGAATAGAGAATAGAGTGATTGCACCACATGTTTCAAGTTGACATCAGTGATGCAGAGCTTCTAGAAAACAGTGCTGAGGGGGTCAGGCATTCTCTAAGGAGAAACAACATGTAGTGGACTCATCCTCAATGTAAAGTGTACTCACAGAATGACTCAGCAAGAGTTAAAAAGAATTGAAATACTGTCAGCTTTATTAGATGGATGATAAGTAAAATAGCGTTGGTTGTGTGCCTTTGGGAGGTTCAAAGGAAACAGAGTGGGAAGAAATGAAATGACAAATGAAGACAGTATCAGCTGTAGCCGGAAGAACACAAGGCAATTTAACCAAAACTAGAATTCGTGCCGCCCTCCAAAATGCAAGTGGTTGGAATTAATATTGTACTGAAGATTCAGCTGTTCTCAAAGCTTTGGCCAATGTAGAAAGTCCTTTGTGTCTTTTGTTTGGGGAAACAACCTCTTTAAATGTGCATGTGCCACCTATTCACATCAATGAGAAGTTGACTCATTTTAATTGATGTATAAACCCCTGGACTTGAATAGCTCAAATGTGTTTCAGAGAGATTTCTGCTCATGTTCAGAACTTTCTGCACATTCAAAACATATCCCACATATCTGCGTTCTGCGACACACCAAAAATAAGGTTATAATATTACAAAAATAATATATAATAAGAAAGTATTTATAATGAGGTTTTAATGAGAAAGAATTCATAATGTTTCAACAAAAAAATCAACCTGCTCTATTGTCCCCTGTATATTACATTATTGCTGTGCTGATATGGAAGTATCCCCTTCAGACCGTCTGACAGACACAGAACCCCATTTAAGACTGTCTTACGCCTTTTCCACCAACATGGAACCAGTTCTGTTAAGGTTCCTGCATCTAATTTTGAATTGTTTGGAGTATTTCGACCAAAATTAAATTGGTTTGGAACCCAAAAAGTTTGTTCCCACCTGGAACCAAAAAATAGCAGGTTTTCCTTGACGTGAAATGAGAACTGTGATGACATCAGGTTGGGAAAAGAGGATGGAGAAGGCAACATAGGATAAGTAAGTGAGAAACTATCAAAGAGCATGCAGTGGTCTCATTAATAGTGCTTGTGTTTTGGGCAAAACAAATATTTGTAATAACAGAGCAAAATTTCGTATTTAATCAATGTAGTCCACAAATTTGCTACCACTGTTTACGTCCATTGTGCATTGTGCAGCACTCTCCATTGATGACACATTCTTGTTCACAGCGGTTCCACTCAAAACTTGTAGAAATGCGGGCTGGTTCACTGGTTCCCCATTACACTGAAAACACTTTCGATCAGGCATATAATGAGATTGTTCCATATTAAAAAATTAAAATGTATTCTGACACACGGAATCAGTATGAGACACAATTTGTTCCATATGTTTGTATACTAACCCGTAAAAATGACGATAATGCAACAAGTTTGCTCAGATATTGGTAGGGACAATTGTGTCCACCCAAAATATTGGTAGGGACATGTCCCTACTATCCATATACAAACCTGTTTCCTTGATTTTGGCACCTCTAAAGTACATATGCTGCACTGGATCCTACTCTTCCCAGAATTCAATTCGATGTTTCTTTCATTAAACCCTCCCTGCCCTGCCCCTATAAAGTGCTCCAAGTATTACATCTTCTGTAGGCCAATGGGAAAGTCAAAGTTGCCCTAGGTCACTTGTCTAAAAGCGGAGATGGGGATGTTTTTAATGGATTTTGGATTATTGCAGAAAATAAGATCTGTGGCAAACTAAACTTTGTGTTTTGTTCAGCAAGATAATCTTTACTAATGAACACCACTTTCATGGTTTTTGAAGAGTAAATGCAATTTCCAGAAGTAAAAAGCTAACATAAGGATATAAAATGAAATACACCGCGATTGCATGACATAACTTCACCACTACATCAAGGCTGTAAAGCCATGTTAAGTGTAGTGACGTTCTGTAGTCTCATTTAGCCTCTTGTTAGCAACTGCCTTTTTACATTAACAGTTTATATGTTGTTGTTTTTCTTTTGGACATAACATCAACCTTCTTTTTCAAAACTCCTAAAGGCTTTAAAATTACTGAGTGAGGTATTTATTGACATATATTATGTTGTAGAACAACACATGAAGTCTCTTAGCTTGTGTTAACCCCAGACCTTATTTCAGGCTTCTAATCAAAAACCCATTCAAAACCATACTGACTTCAATATAAGGGAATCAGGGGTGCAAACTTGCCAACTCATTTGCAGGTTTTATGAGTCATTCCTGCACTACTCTATACCCCGAATTGTAACACAGGCATTCCATTAAAAAGCCCACCCTAAGGTAACCCTGATGACATCATAAAATGGGTAGGGAGTCACTTTAATCTGGAACCCTAACGTTTTTTTTTTTACAGTGTTTTTCTTGAGAAAATGTGTCTTTTCACAAGTACATTTTGATTTTTAAGATATTTGAGTGTTTTGAGTATAAGTGTTACTTCTCTTAGTAATATTTTTTTTTACGGTTAAGTACTGTTTCATCCTTTCAGAGATCTCCTTTAAATTTCAGGTGAAACTGTGGATAGAGTTAGATAACCTCAGGAATGGTGCATTCATGTGCAGTAGTAGACACCGAAAAAAATCAGACCCATAATACATTGTCGCTGGTAAATGCAATTCTCTTTTGCAGAGTACTCTTGGGGGATCTTTAATTATCCAGGCAGCACACTATTTCTACACATTAAATGACACTAATGTTTAAACCATGCCATGCTTTCCCTCATTTGCCCCAGTTTTCCACTTTCTAATGCAATCTTAATACCTCACACTCTGTTAGCCCTACACTTGCTTGCATCCTCCCTCTGTCTCTCTTTTCCTCCTGATCTCAACAAATCTCTTTTGACTGCAGCAATGCAGTCCATTTAAAGCACTGAGGTGTGCTGAAGAGAAAAAATCTGTCACCTATAGTGCTGATGCATGTGAAGGTTGTCAGATTATAGGATCTTTGACTACTGGCCAAAACAGCATTTGAAGACGTGTGCAAGCTTGTGCCTGCGATGACATACGTCAGGAAATAAAGCTAAGAGGGGTGGAGCTTCTCTTCTAGCACTGTTAATAATTTATGTTAATTGTGTGTTCATTTCAAAACCAATTAAATTAAACGTGTGAAGCAGCTTGTATTGATGAGGGAACACCCAATAAATCAAAGAAGGCGACTGCTCCCACATGTGTAATGTCCTGCATAATGAGCATGTTAGAGAGAGCTCTGACTTTATTCTCCCATTCTCCACCCCTGACTGACTACTACATTATTTATGAAGTAGGGATGTGCGCTGTGCTCTATCTCCTGGTGCACATTTCCTCTGCTGAAATGCAGCGAAGTACCAGCTGCTGCCTGCATGCTCGGTCCATTACGGTATTCCACAGCTATCTAGCAGTGGAGCAGAGAAGCTTGGTGGATGCAGAGATATAGAAGAGAGGGAGGAGAAGGGAAGCACAGATTGCTGTAAATTCAGACTTTAGCAGCAGCCTAATTTTCACCACAGCAAAGGTACTGTATCAACCCTTCTTTTCTCTTTTTACTCTCTTTCTTTAAAGCATGTCTGTAGTTGTCTTTTGTGAAATACTTAAGTTATAAGCACAGATTTCTTCTACAGTACTATTTCATGTGGAATGCTCAGTATATTGTGTCCAGCCACAGGACCTTTTGCCACCCGCCTCATCATGTTGAGGAAGGGCTCAGAGCTGCTGAAGGGAGACAGAGAGGTCCTCCTGGATCTGGACTATGAGGGTGAAGCACAAACCACAGACAGCTATGGGAGTCTGCAGAACGGGAGCTTCATCCCGCCGAGATATGTAAGTGCTATTTATGTTTTCTTTTCCTATAGAAATCACATTGAAAAATAACTGCACATTCACACAGCAGCTATAACCCTGCTGCTTTGCTCATCAAGTCGCACCTCACTGACTTCTCTGAGATGTTGCAGTGAGACATCCACAGATGTACAATAATGGTACCAGGCGCTGTTTGTCACTGGGGAAATCAAAATGTCTTGTGAGACGTAACTGCACTGAAAGATCGTTCTCAGTCATACTATAAAGAGCGAAATGATCTTTCTCTGTCTTGTCTTTCTGTAATTATTATTGCAAAGTGGAGGCTTTTATGATGCTGAGTAATGGCACAGGATCTAATGGGTTCAACTATTAAACTAATGTGCTATTCATATACAGAACACAGGATTTACATGCAGAGAAGTGAGCCAGCAGTTCCCACTTGTTTTGATTATAACTAAACTATATGGATGCTTTTAGCTTTCAGCCGCAGCTGCTGATGAAGATATGGCTGGAGATGATCCTATTTATATGCACTGTAATAGAAAAAGTAACCAGCCAGCTTCACAGCCGGGGAATTACTTCAGAGATGGAAGAACCAAAATCGGTACGCTCACATTGCATTAGTTCTCACAAGCTCAGTGATGGATGGACAAGCCAGTCCTTCATTTGTCTTTTTTATGGTTGATCTGGGTTAAGACTTTGTACTGGTGTGGGAGATTCGCTCGCGGAGGAAACGACGAGGGAAGGGGAAGAGTGAGGTGACGGGTGAGGAGGGGGAAGCAGCACCCACCGAGGAGAACAGCAGGTCTGAACGAAAGAGGGCACAGCTGGCACAGTGGCGGGAGAAGTTTGTTCAGAATCTGGAGAGTGCTGGATTGCTCATGGAAAAGGTGGTGTAGATCAGAATAAAGATTTTTCATCTTATTAATACGTTATAGTCCTACTCATTGTTTTGTTGACTTACCAATTCAAAATGTCTCCATGTTGCTTCTCATCTCTTTAGGAGGAAACATCGAATGAAAAGAAAACCATACATTTTCTGAAAATCAGCGCTCCATGGGATGTGTTGGTGTATTACGCTGAGGAGCTCTGTCAGAGAGCTCCACTGCAGGTCAGTGCAGCAGTTGATAATCAAATAAGTCTAATATGAAGTTATAATCCTGAGAGTTTTTATGGATGGCTCTGTCTGTCAGACAGACTGAAATATCTCAACAGCTATTAGATGGAATGCTTTGGCATTTGTACAGACATTCAAGATGGCCGTCCTCTGGGCTCTCCTAATGGTATTGGTGATCCTCTTGACCTTTCATCTAGTGCAGCGAGCTAGTCAAAGTTTTCAATTATCCTGTGAAATATTCCAATATGTACAAGATTATTTGCCATACTGGGACTTTAGTGATCCCTTGACTTCTCCTGTTGTGCCATCGTAAGGTTGACATTTTTGTATTTTGTACTATTGGATGATTTGCAACGTTATCTGGTACACATTGGTTTATGACCACATACCTGCAACACTAATTACATTCCCATCAGCTTTAGTCATACTTGTGTGTGTTTAGTGCTAATTAGTGTTTATCTGCATGCTTTCATTTACATGGTACCTGTTACACATCAGCATGGTAACATTGCAGTGAACTGAACTGCATTGAGCTTAATTGTCATTCTGTGCATTTTAGCATGGTGGCGTGCTGATTTTAGCATTTAGCTCAAAGCTCTGCTGTGCTAAAGTACAACTAGCATGGGTTTAGACTCTTAGTGTTGGTATTCTATCAGTCCCCAGTTTTATTTGTTTCTGGCATAATCCAACTTTCCTGAGTAAGGTTCAAATGTACCCCCGCACAAAGAATTTACAGGAAAAAATGCATGCGTCTATTGGTCATGATGTGAGTGACAAAAGCCAATAAAAAAGCAATAAGGAGTATTACTGCATCTGACGCCATAATTTTTTTAAATCTTTAAGCCTGAAACAGAATCCTCTCAGCTCACGGTTTGTTTGGCTGTTTTGTAAGTATAGACTGTATAAGTGATGTGAACGTAGCCATCATGATCAGAGTTTGGCATTTTTGCTGTTGCCGTCTCGTTTTTTTTGGAGCCAGAAGTGACCATGTTTGGACGAGAGGGTGAAGTTGTGGAGGGGGGGATCTGATGGAGAACCTGAGGATGCCACCGTGATAGCTACTTGTCGAACATAAACTAGCCACACCTTAAAGTATATTCTGCTTTATTGTCTATTTTACTCTAAATGGGACCACAGTTTACTAAATGAACATCGTTCGGTACTGAAGAAAACTTGAAACTAGCAATAGAGACCATAAACTCATTAGGAAAGTGTTAACTGGGGTAATAAACAAAGTGAAAAGTAGGTCCATCTTCACATAGAGTTCTTTTTGCAACCAGAGGAGTCACGTCCTGCTGGCCATTAGAAAGAATGCAGGTTTAAGGCAGTAATGCATTGGCTTCACTTTTTGGACCAGAAGGCTAAGTACAGTCTATGGTTGTAAACAGATACAAGTTGCTTTTTTTCTGTTGAATTACTGAGGGAAGAGTTGCTGAAGCTACATCTGCTGCCCCCAGTGGATGATTTAGAACGTTTTTAACAAAACTGTGGTATCTTTATCAGTAAAATGTACTTAACCACCAGTAACCACAAGTGTCACCACAGTCAAACTATAAGAATTGCAACCTTATATAAAAAGAGACAGAAATGTTCTTTACACTGACTGAATCTGTATTTGGTGTCCAGGCACAGCCAAATCTGGACTTAAACACATCTGCTCGGCTACTGAAAAGACTATGCATACCTAACGTATTGATGGAGTCCGTGCCAAACAGGCCGCTGGACTATTATACATGTGCCTTTCGCAAGTCCAAGATGAACAGGTGAGTTCTAATAAACATTGTTAAATAATAGGATCGATTAACATTGTATCACAGTATAAAGGTGTATTTTGGATGAATGAATGTCTCATCCACAGGTTCCTTGGCTGTGACAACCATGAAACCTACTTCACTAACACACAGAGACACCGTATTGTAAGTAACAGGAATTCCTCTGCAGTGCATTTGGTGACATTATCATCTCGTAAACTGAGAATTTGTGTATTTTTTCAGGTGTATGAGATTCTTGCCGGGACGGTGTACGGCAAGAGGAAAAGGGCTGAGGTTGGTGTGGACAGACTGGTAAATGAAGGGGTGTACACAGCAGCTTTCCCCCTACACGAGGTCAGATATTATCTATCTGCTCTTTAATCAGATGTAAAACTTGCGCAGTTTTCCCTCTCTAATCAAAAGGTTTATTTTTTGCCAAAGGGTCCTTTTCAGCTTCCAAAGTATGAGATTCGTCCCGACGAGTTGAACCAGAGGCAGATTCTTTACCACTACTGGGCCCGCTGGTTCAAATGGTACAAGTACCAACCACTGGACCACATCAGGGAGTACTTTGGAGAGAAGATTGCACTCTACTTTGCCTGGCTGGGTAAATATAGATTTTTACTCAGACACATTAGTTTCTGTGCCCTGAAATTAGTAGTTTGGAGAACAAACAGGCAGTTGTATTTTAAAAAGACCATGAGATGAGGATTTAATATTACATGCCCTCTAAATCTGTTATCTATTTTTCTGACATGAGAAGTTAATTTCATTATGTCTGAACAAAGAGGAAAGTGTCGCTCATTTCACATTGTCAACAGAAAATCTGAGGAAAAGCTTTAGACACGAAAACTATCATCATCAGCAGTAGACGTACGTCTCCAACCCGACCTCTTAATCAAGGACACTCCAGCATCAAACAGCAGTGTAATTGCACATCCCTGCATCAGCCAAGAGCTGCGGCCTAATGGAGCTTTATGTCTCTGCAGGTTTCTACACAGCCTGGCTGCTGCCGGCAGCTGTGGTTGGAACCCTGGTCTTTGTGTCTGGAGTCATGTCCATGGGTACCAACGCACCTGCGTGAGTCCACACGCTCCACAGAAAACATGTTTAATTGCATAACACAAAATAAATGAGATGGAGCAAGACAGAGTGTAGCATTAAGATGATTTGTTTAATGTATCAAGTAAATCTGGTCAAATCTTGGAGAGGAATGCACCAGTTTTACATTCATTATTGTATTAATACTGGTAGTACTAGTACTGCATTAGTAGTGATGATTCTGCTTTATTGAGCATTCTGATGCTTCATTAAAATGAGACTATGTAACTTTTCAAAAAGAAATCTTGCTCTTACAAATTAAAATTTGACTTCCTAAGCAATAAAACACACTCTAGCTCAGTTCAGTATAGTGTCAGTAATGTGTCATGTTATATCACGTCACAGATAAATGTTGCAGTGGTTGTATCACAAAAGTTAAAGCGATAACTAAACAGATTATACATCACCAGGTACTTGTTTGAGGTCTTATTGCACTCGCTGTCTCTCAGGTTGGCTTATGGCAATATCTTTAAAGCAAATGGCATTAAGATAATCTTTGGAAATGGAGGGAAATTCAATGTGCTATCAATGTCATACTTTGATTTTTTACTTAACAACATAGATCCACTTGTGCCTCGATGAAAACAAACGGTGAATTGAGGATAATTTACATGGTGGAACTACTTCTCGGCAAGTAACAACTAGACACAGTGACTTTCTGGAGTCTTTTCAGCAGTGAGGTTGCCAGGTTTGGTGCCATCACGCCTGTGCAGAGAACTATAGCTAAATGCGCAGTCATGAGATTGTCTAAAGCAGCTACAAGGAACTTTCATTTTGTGCTGATTTTAGTTGCTTCTGTGGGCAAAAGTGGTCGTGTTTCCTGGCATAAAATCTGCATTTCCTATGAGCATGAGTCTCTTGACATAGAGGTCTTGATCTTGCTAGTACGTGCATTTGTTTTGAAAGTGAGTAAAAGAAAGATGCAGCCTACTTGCAGGATGCGCAGGGATGAGGTAATGTATCTATAAGTGGCTATGTAAGATTAATAACTGTAATGTAATGATGGTGAAAAGGCTTAGTTTTTGTACCGATCATACACCTTGGTTACAACTAACAGATCTGATTGGTTGGTAATAGTAATTTTGTTGAGTCACAGATGTAATTTCATATATTGATGTCAAACCACATCCTGCAGTTTAGACCTTTTACATACCTGTCTAAGAGGAAGAGGGCCAATTTATGATCGGTTTTGAATCCTTATAAATTTTAAAGTGCTCTCCATTTGTTGAATGAGCGACTGGGGTTTTACTCGTGTTTTCTGCCATGCTCTATCAAATTCTCCTCCCGCCTCCTGTTTACTGGCATTCACTACAAAACTTTGTCTGGGAAAATGAAAACATAGGCTCTTTCAGGGAGCGTGCAGTAAATTGTTTCATGTGATTTGCCAGTTAATCAGACCCAGCGACAGGGATTAAGCATAATTCTAAAATAGTTATGAAGTATTAAGAATAACTATACAACAGTTATATAAATAGTTAATACCCAGTCTTATTGCTGACAGTCTCGTTTGCTTATGTAGGTCATATAGAGGCATCTGTATTAAATTAAGACTTTTTTTAATAAGTTAAAAACGCATTATAGCGGCTTTAAGGGAAACTGGAATCACTCAGAAATTAAAATTCTACTAACACTCTCCCTCCCAAATTATGTAAAGCAAGCACAGTTTGAGATACAAATATACCAAAGCATCAAAGCACAGTCTGTCCTGCATGAAAACAAACCCCATAATTATTCAATCCACATGGGGTATGCCTGTGCCCAATTTATTATTTATTATTCATAATCACAGTGGACTCTGCTCTACCTACACAATATTGTGGAATCAATTTTCTTTCAGAGTAAGTGTACCTCCGAGTGTTTGTACCTCAATATTGCCTCACAGATTGTTTTGTGTTTACCGTTCTCTTTCTATGGCATCCTGCCATCATTCTATTTATGTGGCTATAAAGTAACAAGAAAGGTTAGGGAGAATGGACGATGAGGAGTCAATATCTCAGGAAAGGAACCAACCCTATGTCTCAGATTCATGAGGTTCATTAGTTCACACTGTAGATTAAAGCCATTGATTAGTGGAGACTGGATGGAAAGCAGCCTGCAGCAACAAACTGCAGCAATCTCATGTGATAATGGACAATTAGTGCAGCGTAATCTTCCCATTATATAATTAAGAAAGAAAGATGTCTCGTATTGAGTGCAGGCTTTATTTGTGCAGCATGTGTAGCCATGGTTTCAGTAACTCACTGCAGTAGCTCTCCCTGGCACAAGCTGGGAGACCAATTTCAACACCTTCCATCTGTTACCCTTTCTCAATCAATAGATCCTGGGTTTGTGCACAAAGTGCATTACGGTTATTTCACCCAATCTCTTAACTCTCACACTGATAACTACGAGTATAGTTTCTGTCAAGTGTGCTCGGCCACCTCATACATCAAAATCTGAAAAAGCAGTCCTGGTTTGACAGCTTTGAAATGTGTTTTCTCAGTTGTAACTAATCTTTGTGTCTGTCAGCAGTGAAGAAATCTGTACCAGTGGAGCCAGTTATCTGATGTGTCCTCTCTGTAACACATGCAAGGCCTGGAACATGTCTGAAATCTGCACCATGGCCAAGGTAAGGAAACACATTTCACTAATCCAGCTTCTAACTGTAATGCAAATAGACTTCAGGGTTTGCATGGGTCCTCGAAATCCTTGTGAATTTGAGGGTAAAAATCAAGACCTTGAAAGTGTTTGAAAGAGTTAAAGACTTATATATATTTATAGATATGTCTTTCAATTGCTTGAGTTTATATGTATTGTGTAAGAACATCCTGTCTGCATGTGTGTCTCCTGCTGTTGCATCATTGATGTTTAATTGCATTCTGTAAGCTTCTGTAAAGCCTACTAGTTCTCACTATAAAAATTCTCACACTTATAACAGTAAATAACATTGATCCATGTCTCAAACTATGCCATCTTAGGTACTTGAATTTGAGGGAATTGAGCCTGGAAGGTCCTCAAAAAGTCCTTGATTTTGATGTTTCAGAAGGTGTGGGAACCCTGAGACTTAAAGTTGATGTACTTTCTGTATTGCAGTTGGGCTACTTATTTGACCACCCAGGCACAGTCCTCTTCAGTGTGTTCATGTCCTTCTGGGCCGTAACCTTCCTGGAGTACTGGAAGCGGAAGATGGCCACCTTGGCCCATCATTGGGACTGCATGGACTTCCATGAAGAAGAGGTCTTACAATCCATTTTTTCTTGTTCACTTTCTGTGTGAGTTTGACCACTGGGCAGTTTGATCGCTTTTGAAGGCCCAGACACACAAAACCAACTTCAGAGAACAAGCGGCGACGAAGCCGTCCCGCTGCTTTGCCTGACGTTAGCCTGTCTCAGCCAAAAAGCTGCACATGAACATGACGCAAAGACTGCAGCCGGCGGTCAACCAGCACAGGTCTTATGTGCCTGCATGAGATGAAATAACTCTCTACACCAGCAGATGACGTTCATCTGTAATCTTCATTCAAAAATAGAAACTGGAAGATCGTCTTGAAACTAGTTAGCCAGTTAGCACATTAACAGCACAATCCAATTTTGAAAGAACAAGAGCATATTTACTGTGCGCCAGCGAACGCCCACCAATGGCCCGACTTTGACCGTCAGCCGACCGTGAGCTTGGTGTGACAGGGCCATAACAGCTGTATAGTTAAGAGAATATCATATATCCAAGACGAAACAGACACGGGGTGGGACTCAAATTAGAAATCTGTCTGCTACTTCAGCACCACGAACAGCGCCATGGATTTATCAATACACAGCACAGACAGGCCACTGACATTACAGAGCCATGGTTAGGGTAAGAGATTCTAACAAACCTCAGTCAGATGAAGGATCAATTAGTCAGGCAGACTAGACTAACACATTCAACCTCTCTGCCCTGGCATTCACTCTTCTACCAGAGGATGGAGAGAGGGGGTGGCAGGTTAACAAGGGGGAGGCATTTTGGTCATTTTGCAACAAGAGGGATGGCGTGATATGAGACATGCTGGTTCTGAAGTGGCTGTGGGAAGACTGAACATGTAAGAGTCTGTCCATTCCTGATTGAAAGCTCTGTTTTCAATGTCTCTCTCTCTTTAGAACATGCTATGTCAAATTACTTCTCTCCGACTGTTGTCTTTTTTCTTGTCTGAGCAGCATCACGTGAGACGATTTAACGCATAGACTTGGTCTGTGAGTTTCCAGTTTCTAGGACACTGTCAAACGTAGTGCCGTCAAATGTTAATTTTTTAAGCTCCATCAAGTTTTGATAGTTCCAGGTCTAAACAGGACAGTGTCTGGGTGCAGACCGCCTACCACCTATAACTGACCTTGGGGTGGATGGAAAAGGATGGGTGGAAACATTTTGGTCATTTTGTCCATTCCCCCTCAAATCACCTACTGAGTGTGACCATACTGGTCTCATGCATGTCATGATTAAGGGGCCAGCAATCCCATCAAAGTCCTACTCCAAACCCCACATCTTGAGACCCAGGCCTACAAGCCCATGTGAAGAGTGTGGGGTCCCTCAGGAGTGAGGTGCATCACCTCCTTTTGTGTCTCCAGAATTGAGCTGTGTCACTTTCTAATAGAACTTAACTTACCATGATTTAACATTGCTTGCAAAGTTGTTCTGCACTGGACTTTTTATGGCATTAACATAATGTTGTTTAACAGCTAAAAGCCAAACCCAGCTGCTTGCTAAATATTATTTATTGCAGTGTGTTGTATTGAAAACTAAATTTAAAAAAAAAAATGAATTGGCTAAATAAACAGGGATAAAATGATTGATGTTAGCTAAAGAGCAGGTGATGTTAGCCTGTTGGACAAGGTAGCCTAATGACTCTAGTCATTAGCTCAGGCCAGGATATTTATAATAAAATTAAATAAAACTGGAACCTCATTAGTGTGGTCAGTGTCAGTGTTTAGTGTGCATAAACACATATTGCTGTAAAAACTAATACATTTCAAAATAAGGTACAGTACTGCAATTAAAACCACATCACTTTGTGCAACAAGCTAATCTTTGACAGCTCATTAGCTGACTAATGGTTCACATAAGTTTGAGTCTAGAAAGGTTATTTCCCTTTGAACATTTTATTTTACAGGAGTAAACAACACAGTAAAATGTGTACTGCGACCTTTTTGTGCTGTCTTGTTAAGGAAGTTAGGCACGTCACCTCTGGGGGACCTACTCCTTACCCATCAGGTCCTGACCTGAAGTCTGAAGCTGGACTTTTTTCAGCAAACCAGTGAAGAGTTTGTCCGTTGATGCTAATGTCATCACTTTGTTCCCTCAGGAGCGTCCTCGTCCAGAGTTTGCAGCCACGGCCCCTACGATGGAGCCAAACCCAGTGACAGGGGTGAAAGAGCCCTACTTTCCTGAGAAGACCAGGTTGTCCCGCATGTTCACTGGCTCCATGGTGATCATTATGATGGTGAGACACAGTTTAAAGTGTTTTAAAGGCAGATGATGTTCTGTCTTTTCATGTTGACATTGTTTCAGGTGAAGTATTTGGGATAACAGCACATTCTTTCCTTTGCAAGACATTGGTTTACTGGTATCATTACTTATATACGAGTCTCAGATTCGCTGTCAAATATCAGCAACTTCTAATCTGATGAATACAGTGCAGTATGATTATTGTGATGAATTACTTCACCTGTTTTTAATGGAATTAATCACATCAAGTATGAACAGATGTATTCTCTTTTCCTTATTCTTGCAATCATTGTCATCATACTTAGTTTCAGTAAAGAGTCTCAGTGTCTTTTGAGCTTTTACTTTTGTGATGCTGAGGAGAAAGAGAGGTGGGGTTCACACCTGTGTACTATTCCACTGAATCCTGCAGTGGTAACTGAACCTTCCTCTAATAATGAATCCAGGTCATTTGCCCACAGGGCAGGATATGATCTGATAATCTCAGCCGTGTACACCGTATGCTCAGTCTCAGGATTAACTTGTTCTTGGCCAGTGATCTGAGGATCAGTTTCCCCCACCCTTTTCCTGACAGTGATGATGGAGGTGGGAAATTGAAAATGCTACCATGGCACAAACACAGTCTGTGAAGGCAGACTGCATAAAGTAGTGTCTGTGACCACTTACAGGAAAGCAAAACAAGAAGAGTGACTCAGAGTGAAGCCTATCCAGTCGAGTAGCTTTCCTTTTTACTGTCAGCCAGCTCTGTTATAGATGATGATGGCTGTGCTTGATTTTGCTGCGATGTAGCCAGGATTGGAAATTAACTTTCTGGCTTCCTGCCACTGTGGCTGGAAGATTCTACCAGCCTCTCAGTAGATTACCATTTTTTTTTGGTTTTTATTTTTGGCTGGTGAGTGAAGAAAATCACATAGCAGCCATCTGCCTATTTTACTAGAACTGGCTGTTGGCTGGTCCTGATTTCCAACCCTGGATGTGATCAATTATTGCAAGGACTGCAATGATGAGTCAATTAATTGGCAACTACTTTGTGGACTGAATAATTGTCACTTTTTCAGCAAAAATTCAAACATTGCTGGTGTTATGTTTCTTAAATGTGAGAATCTGGGGCACCCAGTAACTTACCTGGTAGAGCAGGTGCATCATGTACAAAGGCAGTGTCCTTGCTGCAACACCCGTGGGTTGAATTCTGACCAGCAGCCCTCTGCTGCATGCTGTCCCCAAATGAAGGCGAAAAAAGACTTAAAAATAATCTTTAAAAAATTTTGACACTTTTCTGGGAAATTCCATTTTAAAATTGACATGTTATCAACAATTTCTTTTAATGATTTTTAGTCGCGTTTTTTAAAATCATTTTAACTTATGTAAAGTGTCTTTGCATACCCTGAAAAGTGCATAAATTACTGAGATGTTGTTCATATGTTCAGAATTTGTGTATTTTGTTTTACCTCATAAAATTCGGCGAGGTAAAAACAAATAGATCCTTGCACCAAAGAGCTGCCATTAGAAGGATATGAATGCTATGTAGCATTTCAAGCCAGCAACTCATCTCCAGACTACTTTTTGTTTTATAGTTTTTTGTTTTTATTTTATATTGTTTTAATTTCTTTTTACTGTTTTTTATATTACTTCATAAAACCCAGCAGCTGTAATGTTTATCCCTGTGTCTTCCCTCTCAGCTGTGTGTGGTGATGATCTTCCTGGTGACAGTGGTCATGTGCCGCGGTATCATCAGTGTGATGATGTTCCATACTGGGAGCCCGGTCCTGCGTACAGAGGTATATCAGAGTTGGATATCTGCAGAGGATGTGTGGATTGAATTTGTTGTGTTTCTAATATTTTGCGTTATTCAAAAGCAGTGTAATAACAACAACATGCATAAGCTATAGCTGTACATCAGCTCCGTTGTCCCCTTAGAGTGTATGTGTGTGTGTTTTCGTGCATACTTTTAGTCGTGCGTGTGTTTGTGTGTGTGTGTGTGTGTGTGTGTGTGTGTGTGTGTGTGTGTGTGTGTGTGAACTCCTCCTCAGGCAGGGACTATAGCCAACATCTCCAGCAGTATTGTGAATCTGGGCCTTATCCTGCTGATGGGCCGGGTCTACACTGCATTAGCTGAGCAGCTCACTAAATGGGGTAAGAATCAATACTGCTCTCAACACCTCAAACCTCAATGCTGTATATTGATATCAGCCACTCACTGGATCTCCACTAACTAAAAGATGAGACTCCTCAAAGAGCACATGTTGTCTTGAATTCATTCCCAGCATCTGGAGTAAAAAAAAGTCTTTCAGTGAGGGCAACAAACAGACATTGTAGTGACACTGTAGAAATTGTTGAGACATTTTGGCATCTTTCAGTGTCCTGCAACATCTGGACCACTGGGTGATATATACACAAATAATGACATAGTTATAAGAGCCATGATGGTTAGTCACTGAAGGAACCTGTGATAATATTTCCAGATTTAGGCTCCTGAAACAGGAAACTGTCTTTAGCCTCAGTCTCATGAAGACACAAACAACATCAGCTCAATTATTCTCTACAAACTAGCATTGTTAAATATATTGATTTATCGATACGTATCAGTACTGAATATTCAAAACAGTTTCAATACTCATTTACTAGCTGCACTGTTTCCCTCTTATTTGTAAGGTTTACTACAGTCATTCTGCTTAAAAAGTCGTGGTTGAAATGTTATAGCCTTATTGTATTTATCTTTAGGTACAAATTTTAAATTGTACGCCCTCAATGTAAATTTTCCCTGTGGACTCAAAATGGATTTGAATATCAATACTTTTTATTGTATCGAAGTTAGAAATGCCAGTATTGGAACAATGCTACTTCAGACTGTTAAATTTAGGTTTTATTGACTAGTTTTAAATATCCAGTGAGTCAACATGTATTACGTTACCTTTTATATCTAGTACTGTTACCTCAGTTAGATTTTAACCAAGACGTGGTCATGCTACCATGCTAACACTGTCTAACAAGCAAATTAGCACAAAAAACAAGGCAAACCCTGATTGAAATGTCATTAGTTTTTTGGATATTTGGTCATAAGTAAATTACAAATTGAAATTTAGACTTGATGGCGCTAGATGAAAAGTCAAAGAATCATTACAAAGAGTTATTACAATTGATCCTGTGAGGAACTGTGGGTGGCAATTTGCCTACAAACACTCAGCACTCAGGAAATAAACACACAAAAAGCATTGATGGGTTGAAGGAAAATAATATCATATTCAGAATATTCTAGAGAGAGATACCTGAGTTTCAGAACCAGAATCTCCCCGTCTCTCTCCAGGGTGAGAGAGTAACTGGTTAGCTTTCATTATTACAGCAGGACGTTGTAGTCCTCCATAACTGGTTTCCAACTGCTTACATAAGGTATTGACCTTTACCAAAAATAGCATGCAACACACTGTCACCAAAAAGACAGGATAAGCGGTACGTCTCTATTAAGCAGATTCTTCACCATCATGCTTATACCACGTCACATGTTCCATCATGGCCTTCTGACTTGAGCAAATTCAGGACTCCTGAAAAAAGGGTCAAATGTCAAGCTCTTTCAAGTGGACCTCCAACATACATGAGACCTGATTCTGAGTGAGAAAATTGGCATATCTGTCTGAACTAGAGACAGTTATTTTCATTTATTATTGTTTCCCCTTTGTGTTCAGTTCAGTATTCATCAAAATTTGCTTTCATTTTTTAATTCAGCCAACAATTTGTTGTGTTTTAGCTGCAGGGGCGGAGCGTACAGAGCTAACCCAGAGGGGACGGGGCATTTAGTCCTATGTAGGGGCATTATGCAACTATGCTGCACTAATTATCAAGCCATTTGAAAAAATAGAATGCTTAAAAATCTGTACATCATTTAGGAAAAGCAAGGAAGTTGCCAAGGAACACACATCTCATTTTGTATCTAATCAATTTCATTAAGGTAGAGTAGGAATTTGGCATTAACAGCATTACTAATAGAAAAGTACCTTTGGAACTTTTGCTCTATTGATTTGCTGGTACAGTCAGAAAGACTTTAGGGAAATGAAACGAAGTTTAAAAGTATTTTAAAAACCTAAAAGGTTTGGGGCTTTTGAGAAAACATTTGGGACTGTAGCCTCATTTATCACAAGTAATATTGTTGTCGCCATATTCAACAGCCCTACTTTGCAGTTCGTATGATTATTGGTTCGGCTGACATTTCTCTTGATCAGACAGAGGAAAGGAAACAGATATTTTTTCAGGTTAATTAGTGGCTGCTTGATACGGTTTACACTTGTTTTGTCCATTTTACTCTGTGTGCTACTTTGGAGGATAATTCCAGTTTATTTCTTGGCTGTTAAGATAACAATTTTCATCATGCTATTGCTGAGAAATCTGAGCATGGCAACACTCGTACACAGGTTTTAAGCAAACCCCTTCTCCGGCAAACAACATCAAACAGTAACACTGTTACTGCCACTTACTGTCATTATTACTATCACTTTGATGTCTTTAACACTGTGTGTACGTGTTTTCTCTGTTGCAGAGATGCACAGAACACAAACCCAGTATGACAATGCCTTCATCTTCAAGGTCTTCATCTTCCAGTTTGTCAATTTCTATTCCTCCCCCTTCTATGTGGCTTTCTTTAAAGGAAGGTGAGACACGAATCACAGTCATACACAGAAACTATTGGAAAGTGAAGAGAATTTTGTGCCATATAAAGTTTTAACTGTCTTACCTCTCTGTGTGGGTAGGTTTGTGGGTTACCCCACCAACTATGGGACCTTGTTTGGAATGAGAAATGAAGATGTGAGTCTTTAATTTACCAGTAAATGTCAAAGGGAGGACTAACTCCCTACTATTGTATTTTTGTTCAAGTATGAAAAACATGTGCTGCTCTTCTGTGTCATACCTGTGTGTTTTTGTGTGTCTTCACACTTTGCAGTGTGGTCCCGGGGGTTGCCTTATTGAATTGGCTGAGCAACTCTTCATCATCATGGTGGGAAAGCAACTCATCAACAACATCCAGGAGTTCATTATCCCGTATGTTTACCTTAATCTCCAACATTATTAAGTTTCCTTGCCTCACTTTGCCTCTTGGAGCTTATAAGAGGTTTTCTCAACCAGACAGGAGTACAATTTTGTTAATTTAAACATGAACATAAAATTTGATTGCAAAGAAAATGGCTCTCCTCAGCTTGAATTCATAAAATTAAATCAGAACTGTCAAAAAGATTTAGAAACAGAATAAATAGGAGTTAACATAATACAAACATTTGATATTTGTGTTATAACAAGACTGCATGAAGTCCATCATCACTTTTTTTTAGTGTACATCACATTGTCATTGTTTTTTAAGGTGTTGCATCAGACGGCTCTGCATCCTGATTGCAGCTCTGTTATTTTGGTGCAGTAAAGCTCATTGCTCTACCTCTGCAGCACTGGCACACTGAGTGTGTGTGGGTGCGTGTGGGTGTGTATGTCTCCAGACACAGCACACCAGACAACAGGGTAGAATCAGGTTTCAGAGGGCTTTAGTAAACAAAATAATATAGCAGAATGCCAGGTTGCTCCTTGAGCTTTTGACTGTTAGTGGCACTGAGATCCAGTGTTTCCCTCATTTCAATGGTAAAGCTGCTCACCTGTGAAACAAAATACAACTCCTTAAATGAAATCAAATTATCTGAAACTTACCACAGACTGTAAACTGCTTTCTTGCTTTCTTTTGTTAAACTTGTTTCTTGACCTACTTGTAGGGTGTTATGGTTAGTCATTCATGGCAAATGCCCTGTTGCACACCGCTTGTTTTAAATGAAGTGGGCAGAGTGAAATTAAGGCTACACGGGGCCCTTTTTTATCGTAGATCTCTATGCCCAAACCCAAATAGTGACGTCTCATGCAGCTGCTGTTAGATTAATTAAGAGATTGTTTATCGCTTAGTGTGCAATTTTGCAGCCAAGTTTGTTCTGCTCGTCAGAATGCTTTGTGGTTTCTATTATCTGTACTGTATCTGCGTCCCAATTCAGTGCCTCAATCCTTTGAAGGACTCACCCCTCGAGGTTTGTCCTACTGATGACCCACTGGCAAGGCTCAAAGGTGCCGTCAGCGATTCTAATCTAATATACTTTTTGTCAGATTCAGCAAATACCTCCTCAGGGTTCACTAGTCTTTTCTAATTAAAAAAAAAATCTAGTGTTTATACACAACCGTGGCTCTGCTCGTGGCTCTTTGGATCAGCACACTTGTCCCAGTCTTACTTGTTTGCTCCATATCTCAGGATGGCTGCCACTGAGGAAGAGAAAGTGAAACCAGTCAAGCACCCCATTAGTGTCATCCCTAAATTCTATGAGACTGTGTGCTGTGTCAGTGATTGCATGAAAGTAGCCATATGCTACAGATTTTTTGACACAAACAGTGTTTTGAGGCAGATGTGTGTTACAGCAGAGCGGGAATGAATTACTAAGATGCTAGTTGCAAAACCACAATAGAACCATCTGCAACTGCGTTTGAAGGTTTGAGCCTCAGGGACTTGTTACTCTGACAACAGCTCCAAACAAATCCAGCTTTTAAGGAATTAAAAACCCAAACTCATGGTAAATCATTAACACAGAAATGAAGCTGGCAGTTAACCATGTAATATGAAAAGTGTGAGATATACTTTGTATTCAGGGTGTGAAAAAGGACTGCAGTATATTATAATAATGACAGAACTATGTCAACAAAAATGAAAGTCAATGTTAAAGCACGAGCATGACCTCTGACCTCCCCGTGGTGAATCTAAGTTCTATATTCCCAGTACTATCTTAACTATCGTCATTTTTTATTCCATATTCACAAGCTCTGTGTCTCTACTCTGACAGTAAAGTGAAGGCCTGGCGCCAGAAAAGAACTTTGGCCAAGGTGCTGGGGGATAAGGCATCCCATGAGCCTCAGCGCTGGGAGGAAGACTACCAGCTGGTGGAGTGCGAAGGCCTGTTCGAAGAGTACCTGGAGATGGGCAAGTGTCCGCAACTGTACCTTAAGTACACTGTGATTCAAATGTTATATACAGTATGATGAACATTATGTAGAAAAGTATAATGTCTGACATTTAAATTGCTGTCTCACTGTGCAAATAAAAAATGACTCATTGTGCTGCAGTGCTCCAGTTTGGGTTCATCACCATCTTCGTGGCAGCGTTCCCCCTCGCTCCGCTCTTCGCCCTCCTCAACAACTGGGTGGAAATCCGTCTGGATGCCCACAAGTTTGTGTGCGAGTACCGCCGGCCGGTGGCTGAGCGCGCCCAGAACATCGGAGTCTGGTTCAACATACTGGAAGCCCTGTCACACCTATCTGTCATCGCCAATGTGAGTCGATATTGAAAATGCCACCCACACCGGACTGGATGCAAATCTCTTTCCTAACACATTATCTTTTGCCATTCTTCTCTTTGCCATCTGCAGGCTTTCCTAATAGCCTTCACATCAGATTTTTTACCTCGTCTGCTCTACCAGTACAAGTTCGGTAATGATCTCAATGGATACGTCAATTTCACCCTGGCTTACGCCCCACTTAACTACAGCGAATACCCCATGTGCAGGTATACTGTTTGCAGATTTTCTTAATAAATGTATCTAACTCTTTGTATTGAATTCCATACTTTGCCTTTTAAATACGTTTAAGTGTTTTTGCAAAATCCTTAAAAAGTTTCAGTTTTAATATTGCTGAATTCAGATCACAGACTTGACCAACAGAGGGCGGCATTACTGATGTTTAACATATTGCTCAGTTTGGTCTCGTGCTGCTGCTGCTGCATATCATGCACACCAGCCATTGCAGTATGTTCTGCAGTAACTCTGTATTTCATTTTATTTTAGATATAAAGCGTACAGAGACAACAATGGAAACTACACACTGTTCTACTGGGAGCTTCTCGCCGTCAGACTTGGCTTTATCATTGCTTTCGAGGTATGAAGGGAGCTGCTTTGTCTCTCTGTTTGTTCATTTCTTTTCTTCCGCCTGCCAGATTTTATTCATTTTTTATCTTTCAGCTGCATCTCTATCCCCAGCTGTGCCTCTGTTCCCAGGTGCTTGAAGGACTGACAATTTAACTCTCTCTTAGTGTGTGTTTTAGTGTTTCCATCTTATGCAATGCTCTCTCTTATCAGTAATTCGTGTAATTTTATAGCTAGTATGTCATTTTACCAAATCTCCTTTCTTTGACACTTACTCACTTTTTCTGTCTTTGCTGTTTTTTCACCATCCCATTACTTTGCTCAGCATCTACCTCAGGCCCCATCTCTCTTTTAAAGTTTGTATTTATTCATTTGCATCCATTTCATCCCTGTCTCCCTCTATATATCTAGCACTGTTCCAGACTTCTGAGAGGCTGTGTGCATCTTCTGTTTGTTCAGCAATTCCTTCTCCTGCTCTTCATTATAGTTGTTTACATTTATATTTCTGGCATTCGCAACATAAACCTCAGCTCATAAATCACTAAAACTTCCGCACAACTAGAATCAAAGTATATGTTGAGTTTTCATTACTGTCAACAAATACCATAAAAAGACAAAACAAACGGTGCTTTTTCAATCTCCCCATTCAGTCTGTAGCACTCAGCTCATTCCTTCCTACCAAGCATGTAGAGCTTGGTCACATATATAGTTGAAATCATTTTAAAGGCTCGATAATTTACTAAAACAGCTGGGCACTGTCGTTTTTATGCAACAGTACTTAAACAGGAGGTAATAGTGGATTTGTTAGGGAGTATTTCAGCCACGTATTAATACACATTTGGTGGTCTAGTGAGTGTTTTTGGCTGCAGGACGATGGATGTGGAGCTCAAAATAAGTCGCAGCGGTGGTTCTTAAAGTAATGAAGAAAAATGGTCACCCGATATAACGTTGCAGCTTATCGATGTGTTCGTAATAGTTTTTGGACAACAGTGGAGCTTTATGGCAGGGATTCTGCAGTGGAGTAGAGAGAGGAAATCATTTGATAAACCAATATTGAACCAGGCGTGTTTGATAAAGAAATCTTTACTTGAGGATCATAAATCAGAGTTTTTAGCCACATCTTGTGACTTTTCATCAGTGGATGGACCTTGCTCGGTTGTCATGTAGACATTTCAGGGGAAAATTTCTAAATGGTCTAACTGAGGATTCCTTTGTCAAACTAGTATTTTCAAGGTCAAGGTCACCCCAGAGCTCAAACACAAGATGTTGCCGTCCACATCTTTACAGATGGTTTCTAACTGCTTGAGTGCTCTGAGTTCAAACTTCAGATCCTGGGACAGGAGAGGCTGTGTTCTTCAATCTGATGAGAAACTGAAAGGCCTTGCTGTACACATGTCTTCCCTCCTCCAGCATGTGGTGTTCTTTGTCCTGCGAGCCATTGACTGGATCGTGCCCGACGTCCCTGAATCCCTGGAGCTGAAGATTAAGAGGGAGCGCTACCTGGCCAAGCAGGCTCTGGCTGAAAACCAGGAGGCTCTGTTGGTGAGTCGAGGCCGAGGGGCCGCCCCTGCCAGTCCAGGCAACTCCAGCCCAGGTCAGTAGAACATGGGACACACACACACAATGCAGTGCAAGACACATTCATAAAACTCACACTGTAGTTACCGAATTGAATATTTAGGGCAAGAGCAGGACTCTTAGGGTTCTAGATCAGGGGTCCTTCGATGTTTTAATCCCAGAGAAATATGAGGCTGTTTTTGATTAAAATTACTCCAAGACAATGATAGCATTTAAAGGAACACTTCACCCCCAAATGAGCATTTGTATATACATAACTCATCCTGTGTTATGTTGAATATGTAAAGAAAACTTTGTTTCCATCCAGGTGACCAGTGCAACACTGGACCAGCAGAGTCCATAGGTTACCTACGGTGTTAAACCTGTCACTGTTGATTCTCATAAATAAATTCCAGATTTTAAAGGCTTTTAAAAGCTCACCGACCCATGCACACACACCTCCACAGAGCGTTTGCAAAGCACCTGCGGCTCGACTAGCTGTTATAAACTCGCTACAGTGCACGCAACAACATGATCATTAAAGGTAATCTGAGTGGGATCTGAGCCAAATATGTCAGTGTCAGATGAATTTCATTACCTCAGTAGACCTTATGGGTTGTTGGCATGGTTCATAATTTCCTCTGTTAACACAGTTGTCCATGTTTAATGTAAAAGTTTGACAGAAATTAGATCAATTAATGAAAAAGCTTGCCTTCAAGCAGGAAGTAAACAGGAAGCAGCAGAGCAGTACAAATACATCTGCATATCAAACACAGCCTGTACATTCACATTGTTTGTGGAGACAGTGGAGACAGTCCCATACAGTGTATTTTCACCCTCGCCTGTGTGTGTGTGTCCCTGTGCTCTGACCCATGCTGTTGTGATGTGTTTCATGTAGTGCATGTTGCTGGATGAGGACAGGTGAGTACACAACACGTAAGTAAATGGCATTCTGGAGAAGGATGATATTATTTCAGTCATCATAGCAGAATTGATCAAATTAAAATGGACGTAACACATTCAGTACTTTGGTATTTTTCAACCTGGACCATATTTTCCCATGTTTTTATGTCTAATTAATGAATGAGAACAAAATAGTAAAATAGTAAAATCATTTTTGTTTTAACCTGAAACAGCCCCAAAATTGCTATCGCCAAACTCACCAGACACCAGACAAAAACAGTAGTTTTATCATTGCAAAACACACTTCATCCAACATCCACAGAAACAAAATAAAGCTCAAAAACTGTCTTGGTTCGTCTTTTAACTGTGCCAACAAGAACCAACTCTGGTTTGGTTGGAATAAAACCTTAATTTACAAGTTAGGTGTGAAACTAGGCTGACATTATACACGCTAAAATTGCTCTTTATTTAAACGTGTCTGGTTGCTTTGACTACACCCATTTCAGAGCTGTTTCTGGTTAACCCCAAAAAGTATCTTAATCTTTAACAAAACCATCTATTTCTGTAGGGAACCTTTCCACAATGTTGTTAGAATGTTGTTATAGACACTTATAATAACAATCTGAACCTGTCAATGGCTGCTGGCAGAAAACATGGAAAAAAAAGGCCCAGGTTGACAAATGCAGAAGTTACCCTTTAATTCATGAAACCTTAAATACATACAGCACTACAGCACAATAACACTTATTATTGTTTCTCAATATAACTATATTATTGACTGATAGATGTGATGAATACATACATAAGTCAACAGAATATCTGTAAAGACAGGGTCCAGTGATGGACAGGGTCCCTGCTAGGAATTATAGTCACAGTTTATGGTGTTACAGCTGTTGTTAGAGGGCTCACAAATAGTAATAGCGCCCCCTGTCTCTCTGTTTTTGAGCTGGTTGATGTTACCGAGAAGTGGAGAAATGCAGAGTGACTGTATACAAGCTGAGAGAAGAATGTTGTAGCTGCTCGACTAGGGCTGGGTGATACAGGGGGAATCCATATCCCAGTATTTAAAGGAGCATTATTTCAGTACTGCATAATAAATGTAATAGGTTAAATTATTAAATTCATGTTTAATGCTGTTACCCGTGTTCCGCTTTATATTTTATTACACACTCTTCCAATGTTTTGTTACAGTTTTGCTTGGAAATCAGTTATTTTGAAAGCATAATTTTGTAAAACAATGAGGCAGCCCAGCCCTATGCTCGACATAGACTACAAGTAGGCACAAAACTTGAGGTAATCAACTACAACTACAACTACAACTACGGCCTCGCCAGTCTAAGTTATCTCACGTCTGTCTGTGTCAACTATGGAGTTAGAGATAGGACATCACCAGCTAGCTTAGCATAAAGACTAGAGGCAGCTAGTCTGGCTACATCTCCTTAATACTTTCTGAGTTTTGTGAGGTTTTCTACCTGACTCTTCATAAAGTATCTCCTCCTCTCCCTATGTGCTACCGCAGCTCATTTTATGTTGCGTTGTTTATGGACAAACTGAATCCTACACTGTACATTTACTACCACATGACAACTTTACTGCTAATTTCTCCTCTGCTCCAACCGCCAACACCTGTCTGCTTTGAGCGCAGCCACTGTCACTCTCTCTGTCAGTAAACCACACATATACACACACACACTGCGCACTGAGGTGCTACACTACTCTTATCACAAGATAGCCTATCCAAACTTCCTGTAATCGATCCAAAAGTCCAGACCATCCCATATTGTTTTCATGCCAGAAACAAAAACAAATCATGGTACAGTTTGATTCAGACAGAGACCAGTTCTTTTCATCTGTCCAGCGAGCTTCAGAGGTTCTGCTCGGTGTGTTTTTGAACTTTGGTCTAAACCAGGCTAGCTGTTTCACCCTTTTTCCAGGCTTTATGCTATGCTAGGCCAACCACATCCAGACCGTAGCTTTGTACTTAACACACAGACATGACCTTGACATTAATCTAATCTCTAGTCTCATTCTTGGACAGAACACAAATCAGCATATTTACCAAAATGTTTTAAGATTCTCAGTAATTGAAACATTATCTTTTATAGCTGGTGTCATTTAATATATGATAGTAGCAGCCAGATGTAATTCAGTAGCATGTTGCAACAGAGATTGTCTGTCTGCTTTTTTTCCCTCTCCATACCTCTCACTGTAGTCGGTCTGACAGAACTAATTCTCTCTTCTGTCTCTCTGCTCCTTCCCCATTCCATATGTGTCCAAACCCAACTGCACTGCCTCCCCTGAAGGAAGCGACGCGTCCTTTAGAATCATGAGTTAGGACTCCAGTGTGGAAAACGAGTGGTTTGAGGGGATGTTGGAGGAATAAAAGACGCTCCTTCACATCTGGAAGAACATCAATGAACTCTTTTCTGGGTGGATTACGGTTTCTGCACTGGGATTCTGTTTTTATTTTACTAATGTGCATACTGCTATGCATACATTATGATTAGCAGGTGTGTAATTGAAGCTGAACTCAACCCAAACTTAGTTCACCCATCTTTTCATTTGGAGAACACAGTAAGTCATCATTTTCAGGCTGACACACTGAAAGTCTATTACTTTTATTCATACTAGGTCTATACAAATGACATCTTCATATGTTCCAAATCTGAAAAGGATCCACAACTTTCCTATCCAAACTGGGTTCTGACCCTACAGCAACTGGTCTCCAGCCTGAGTGGGCCCTAAAGAAGCAGAACAAAAACACATTGAAAAATGTGATTATGGTTATATATTGTAAGCCTGCATCAGTCTCTCTTTTTTTATCTCGGCAGAAATGTAAAATTACTGCATAATTACACATATAAATGAATAGTGAAATGTATCAGGCCCTGCTTGTTTGGGGAAACACTCTCAAACTAATAGGCACAATATCTTCCATAATGAAGCCACATCCATGTAGTTGTAATAGTTCAAGTGGCTAGCTAAAGTTGCAGCATGAACGGTTAACATTGTCAGACTGTTTTCAGGTTCTGTTGGGTCCAGTTAGAATTTCACACAGACCTGACACGTGCAACAATTTGTGTCAGACCCACCTTGAGGGTGACCCATGACCCAATAGTATTACGTTGATGTTTTTTTTTTTTTTTTATGACACAAACTAGTAACTTAATTCCCCCCTGAAAGACTTGGTTTTGCTGACCTCCTGTGGTTTTCACCTTGATGCAGTGATGTACAGGTGTACTCCAGGACCCTGTTACATCACTGTTGGGTGTGGTTGTGGATGCAGAAGAATACACACACAACCACACCCATTACTGAAGCTGGGTGTGGCCAGAGGTGAAACTTTCAACCACGGAGAGCAATGAAACACCTCTATTCAGCCAACTGTTAGGTTACTCTTTAAAGGGGCATTCCAGTGATTTATTCCCCTGGCTAAGTCCTGGTGCAGGTCAAACTTTGAAAATGATTGCTCTTACATTTCCTATTATACAATGTCTTTTGTAGAGTTAAGTAAGTAAAACGGTGGATCATTTTCTGCTTTGAAACTCTCAAAAAATATCAGGAACTGAGGGGTGTCAACACCCAATGCACATCTCAATAAGAAACATCCAATTACTGACCTTTTTTTTTTTGACTGATAACCTAATCTGCCGCTTAAATGAATTCACTCCGGACCACTTTTGGCTAAATTTGTCAACTATGGCTTATACTTAGAGTCATCCGCCAAGTTGAAATGACTCAAACTGATGGCCATAACAAAAGCCTTTACCGTATGCTCACATTGTCCAGGACATTAATGTGACACTTTGTGTTTTAATGTTGATATTATATAACATTACAGGTATTATTAAAACAAATATTTGCAACCCCTCCCTCTTCACAACTTAATTAGACTCTCCCTGCTTGGTAAATTTGTTCAGTATGTATTTTGAACTCCATCCGTAGTCTTCAACCACCACCCCAACTGCCTCGTGACGTGGACTGCTTCCTTCTTTATTCCTTCTTTATTCCTTTCAGCGCAGTGGTCACATGACCACAACCTTCTTGATTATGTGGGTTGTACACAAATTGTGTAGTATTACTTTTCTTATGTATATGTACATACAGTGCATAAGAATAGCCCAAGTGCTCCCCATCACACTCTGTCTGCTAGTAATTGAGTTATTACTAAAAAAAATTCATAATTATGTTGTGGTGACACATACTGACTGTCTAGAATACTAGTCCATACCCATTGGTAGCTTTGTCACCTTCTACTTATGCCAATCCTCAATGCCTATGTGCAGTTTCACATAGATTGACCACGTCAGTGAGTAGAAAAACGTGGGACAGACAGAATGACTGACTGACAGAATGACACACTGACAGTTTCCGTGATTATGTACAGCATACCATACCATGACTTAGTCATACCAAACATTAGAAAACAACACCAACATTGGTCCACAGGGGGAGCCACAGCGATCGGTCGCATTTTAGCCATTTTTAAGCATTTTTCTGTTGTTATAGCGCCACCCAGTTGCCAATTAGAGTTAAATTTCTCCAGTCACCTTGAGGCGTCCTGTTCTACATATCTACCAAGTTTAGTAAAAATCCATATGGCGGTTAGGCCTAGATAAGAAATTAGCTCTCTAGCGCCCCCATTTTGTTTGATGGGGTCAATAATGGAGGGGTCCCCTCAGATTATGTGTGGTCATATGCCTACAAAGTTGCGTGGTGATCGGTGAAACCCTTGAGATGTTATACACCTTTATGTGATGAGCCACGCCCTCCGCAATATTCATTGCCTTATAGAAGCTCGGTTTTAGTAAGTTTTCCAACTTTTGCCAAGAGGGAACTTTAGATATTGGTCCCTAGATTATGTTCACTGAGTTTCATGCAGATCGGTCAAACTTCCTAGGAAGAGATCGATTTGAAGTGTTTTTCAAAAAATTCAAAATGGCAGAAAATCTATATAACTGGAAGTTATGGGTTCTTGAGGCAAATGTGTTCCTCATGAGGAGAGGCATCTCTCTGCAAAGTTTCATGTCTCTACGACATATGGGGCATGAGATATGCCCATTCAAAGTTTGCAATTTCAATCGGTTGCTATAGCGCCCCCCTTTGGCCAATTGATGTAATATTGCTTCATTCTTATCCTCCCATGATCCTCTACCACTGTGCCAAATTTCACATGGATTGACCAAGTCAATGAGGAGAAAAATGTGGAACAGACACACACCCACAGATAGTTTTCGTCATTATATACTAAGATGTTCAGAGATGGGTTTTTTTTTTTTGTTTTTGAGGTAATGAAACTACATTTATGGACCACGCAGGACTCGCAGAGAGGTGGTCGGGGTGGATGGCGGTCATTCAAAGTGCAGGACTGTGACACCAGAATCCCGGGTTTACGCCCAGTGTCCTGTCTGTCAGGTATAGGCAACAAGAGCACTTTGGATAAGGTTCAGAAAAGATCCTGATTTCAGTCATAGGTCAATTAAAAGTGGAATAATTAAAATAAAAACATACTTTCTAGGAGACACAGCTGCTCTCATCATAAGTAAATTGATCTTAATGTGTAAAGTCAGTGGAGTGCCCCTGTAAGTTTACATTTTGGTTATTTTCTTCATGATGATGGTCAAAGTGCACCTACCTTTTCACACTAGCTGATACTGTAAGATGTCAAAGAACCTTTGTCCTGTTAATTTATAAAAGGCTTTGACTATGCGCTGTTATTATCACAGATTGTCTGTTGTCTTCACTGTGCTGAAGAACATCTGCAAACATCTACACCCTCATCTGCAATGTATGCAATGTACATACACATATACTGTACATGTTTACTGTCCCTGGATGCTGAGCATGTCCGACTTTTCTACCTGAACGCTCTGCAGAGTTTCATGTGAAGGATTTCTGAGCGTTGCTGCTGTAAGATACTGTAAACAGGAGTGAACTAGTACCTCAGTATAGGACATATTTTGTGTGTGAGATGTTTTGCATTTAAGACCTTTTAGACCAAAATAAATGTAGTTTGATGAATGCATTTGTCTCCTCAGCGTGGGATTCTGAAATGCTGATGTGTCCACTGGGAGATCCTGTTCTCACTGTGCTGTAGGGATGTACTTTATGTTATCACGCATTTCCATCTATCCTCTCCACTTTCTTCTTCTTCTCCCCAAACAGCAGTGACCTGCAGACAGTTACTGTAAAGAAGACGCTGATTTATTAGGAGTCAGAAACAGACAGGTGTTCCTTAATGATTTCTCTCTTCCTCTCCCTCCTCCCCTCACAAACTCCACCAGTGGCTGTGGCCTTGGGCAACTCTTCACCTTTATTTTATCTCCTCTTCCTCACCCTCTTCTTACCCCTTCCTGCACTCCTCTCCCTGTCTCTCTTATTTCACTTTTGTCATCCATGTTTTTTTAATATCCACTCTCCCTTTCCCTCCCTTCCCTCTCTCTCAGCCACATTCATCTTCTGATTGTTATGATTGCTGTGCGTTCCTCTGCCATGGCCTGCAGGAAGAGTGAGTTAGTACATGTCAGTGAGCACAGGTATGCACTGTGGACACCGGCTGGCTCATTCACCGGCTGCTGGAGCGAGGAAGGAGACGCTCGTCTGCACGGGCTGAACAACCGAAGCTCCAAATCAGCCACAAGGTAACGATACAGCAATCGTCACACTGCAACACTGCAAGTAGAATACCCGAAAATATATTTAAAACCAATTTATTTTACATTTTTATTTGCATTTCTGAAGATGCTGATTCATTTCTGAGGTCTTGAGTATGATGCAGATGTACTGTAGAGCTGATTGATCTGTCTGTAATCATAAATGAATAAGAACATGTTTACAATATTGATATACTGAACATCACAATATACAGAACGTGCAAAATCACATGCAAGAATCAAACTGATGCAACTGTTTCCTTTAAGTCAGTAAATCCTGCAGAACCTTATGTGATCATTTCAACAAATACAATTCCTCTAAATGCTGATAATCAATTTTCTTTCCCTGTGCAGATTTTATATTGAAAATTAGCAACAAAACAAAAAAACAACCTCAGTTTACAAATGTGAATATTTTAACTCTATTAATAACCTCTTAAACCTCACTGAACCCAGAGATGATTTTTTTCTTAGTTGTACCAGAGATCCCAGACTGTCTATGTCTAGTTAAATTAAAGAATATGCATGAAATTTGTTTGAAGTTCTGCAAAAGAAAGATTATTTCCAGTTGATGGTGAGGCCACAAATCTTATATCTTACATTAAGGTTGTGGTTCTACTTTTTTTTTTTTTCTTTAACCAAGCGAAAATACACATTACTGACATATAATCATCTTATAAAGTGGGTAAAGGTCTCAGTAAGTCATCACCTATTTAGAATGCCTGACATTACCAGACCAAATTACAAATGCAAAATAGTTTGGAACCTCATTTTTAGTCTAAGGGGCATTTTATCAATGCTGAGCAGCCAGTGACCAAGTCTGTCCTGTGCAGACGACCAATCAAAGCACATTAGGGCAGGATGTGGTGCAAGGGAAAAAGATAACATCTAAGCAACAAAAAAATGTAAACAGGCTACAGTGAAAAGAGATGAGTTGGTTTATTATGAGTTGGTGTGTTCAACTTTTGTTAAATCCTGACATAAATACAGCAAACACATTTTTCTTCTCAAGAAAAGCTTTAATTTTTTTTCTTCAAAACTTACACGATATCAGCTTCAACAGAAAGTTCCACGTCGGCTGCAGCTATCTCAGTTGTTTTTTGAAAATGCCGTAACGCCACCCCTCTCTATGGTCTTCGTCTCAAACCCACCCCATATTAAATAAACGTGTGATTGGCCCAGCAGGTCTCAGGCTGCTGGCTGTCTGTCCAAAGCGAAGGAGGACCAGATGTATGTGCCAGAGCTATTAAAACATGAGCTGACAGATTTGTCTGGTTCTCATGCAGAAAACTATTCAGAGCATTTCTGCGGAAAACTGCTGAATAAGCTAAAGGAAGCAATTTGCAGGCCAAAAAAGCCAAGACAGAAAGCTAAAAGAAGCTAAAATGGGTGATAGTCAGGATCATCTCATAGTTTGGGGCCATCACTGCAAGCGACACCTTTCATGTTACACAGTGATTTCATACACTGTTGCTACAAGATAATTATTAGGGCAGCTTTAAATTTACTGCGGAAACAAAGGGGGGAAATGTATGTTAGTGGTTGAAATAGCTGTGTTAAGCAAATGTGCCCCATGTTTTTTATTCATAACTTTATTGTTCATTTTATCCAACCAAAAATATTTTAAATTGCCAATACTGAAATCAGTGTTGCCACTTAAAAACATTTTCTGTGAAAATATTGATACAAAAAGAGCATCACAGGTAGCTCTCAAACCTTTAGTGACCTATTTTCCTCTAACAAAAATGGGGACAATTAGACGTCCACCAGTGTCCCGAGGTAACCTACCCCCACCAGCACCACCACCGCCGCCATTCTTTTCATGTTTGATTAGTGAACATAGTTGATACAGCAGCAAGCAGGCAGCACTGAGAGAGATGAGGGAGCTCAAGCATGCTGTGGCAGCTTTTTTCTATCACCAACTCACAGTTTGACATTTAGTTAAAGCTGCATGAAGGCACACACACATAAAACACACACAAACAAACACAAACACAGCCACAGGCATTTCTATGGATTGATCTGCACACACAGGGATGCACACACATGCACAAAGACTATGCAAATGTGCACTGTTGCATGTTTGTCCCTGTGCTTGTTGTGAATGCATACCTCACACATGCACATGAACACACAATGCATATGCTTCTGCTGATAAAGTGCACGTGCACACTGTACACACACTTCCACCGAGGAGCAACCTTTTTCTACCCAAGTGTGTCTGCTCCCTCCTCTCTGTGTCTCTTTCTGTCTCAGAGCAGGTGCTGAAATGAGACACTAAATAACTATTAGAGTTAGAGGAAGGGCGAGAGAGGGGGAGGAGAATGAGAGAAAATGAGAGAGCACTTCCCCAACAGTAGCACAGAGAGAGAGAGACAGAGAGAGCAAGGGAGGGAGGGAAAAGGAGCGAGAGGGAAAGGAGAGCAGAGGAGCTTAGAGAGGGGATCTGCATTGTAAGTAGCTCTGAGAGCAGCAAGTGGTGGCTGTTTTTCAACCTGTTTTTGTTTTTTGGAGGAGGCGGTGGACGAGAAGAAGGAGAAGGACCGGGCAGAGGAGCACAGATTTGAAAAAGTCTGAGCTGAGTTTCAAAACGGAAAAAGAAACTGAGGGAGGAGAAGAGGGGGAAGAGAAGCCGGGAGGAACACAAGGCAGCAATGGATAGCAGAGTGGCTCAGCCTGACCCTGGGATGGCATGGATTCACACACAGCTGCTGGCTGCCTTCCAGCACACACACTAGGCAGCTAACACCAATGAGGTACAGTACTGGAAAAAAATGCATCTCTTAAATGAACAAAGCAGAGAAATGCTTTCACACTCCACGCTCTTTTTTCTATAAGTTGGAGATTTTTCCTGAGTGGAAGTTGAGCTGTGTTATTTGTTGTGCTTTGTGCGGCAGTGCAGCTTGTCAGGTGCATTGCATTTATCTGACAGCATATATGCTGTGAAAACAAAGGCAGATACTGTTTATATGTGGGACACAGGAAACATCACGGGTGTGAGACGGGTTATCAGGACTCTGTTTGCCCCGAAATTTTTATCTCAACTAACAAAACCAGCTGTTTAAATAAACTACTCCAACATATGCACACGCATCACAGTGGAATACAGGACTAAAATGTCAGCCAAATATCCAGCACAAGTACATGCATAAATCCTGCCAGTGGGATTATTAGCTCCACTATTCATGTATTCTGTTGGAAGAAGTTGCTGCTTGCATCAATAATGTTTCCAGCAGCTCCCTAGGCAGTGCAGAGTGAGGTGAATGTGATGGTAACAGTGCAGCAGTGAGCTGTTGCAGAGCGGGGCAGGTAAGTGCATGTCTGGAGTATGTTGGATGAGGGGTTGTTAAAAACTGTACACGGCTGAAAACGTCTCTGTTCTCCTTTGTGGGACATTTTAGCATAAAACTTAATCACCTTTTATGCCTGTTGCTTCACGCAAAGACAGATCCGGGTACGAGGAGTTAACTGAGTACAGGGATCTGTGTGTGCTCTTCATTGTGTGAATGCATTTATGTGGATATGTGTTCCCAGAGGCAGAGCACAGTGGTTTGGGTTTTCTTTCCTACTCTTTCTGTGTTTGTTTACTCGTGGAGCCTCCAACCGGTTGTTTACACGGCTTCAAGAGGGATAAACAACAATGCAGTTATGAGATTCAGCCAGCTAGGTTATGCTTTTTAATTCTGGGGAAGCTTCTTTGCAGTATGGTAGTTGTGACATACATGTGAGACACGTTACCACCATCAAGACTTTTTCCAATTAGAAAGAGGGCGTACTGAGGTGATGGCTGCCTTTTCTGTCTGCCATCTGGATGACTCAGTGTATTGTCATGTGAGTTGACTGCTGCTGCTGCTGGTGTGTGTCTGTGTGTATGGATAGTCTGGAGGTATATATTTTGGCTGGAGCGCAAATAGATAGCTGTGGGTGTTGTAGATTATCTGATTTACTACGATACGTCTGGACTGGAACGCAGCACCTGCACACTGGGCAGACGTGTACCAGCACAAAGCATAAATCAGGACCTTGAACCGTTTTACTGCGTCTTTATTACAGGCTGGAGATCCCCTGTATGATGGCAGACATCTGATAATTTTTTGAATAGTCATCACATTGGGAAAAAAAAGAGACTTCGGATGAGTGATTTTCTTTTACCTGTGATTGAATTTTGAGCCCGTGAGCACGCTACTGTACATTTGAGTTCCACCTGCATGCCTGCTCATATCACACACAGATTTATAACTCAGCTCACCACAGGGCCCCTCCCGCTTCCCACTCCCCCCCCACTCATATGTCTGGAGAGCACCTGCCCCATCACCTGCCACTCAGACAGTGGCTGTCTGAGCGTGGGGTTGCGTTCCAGGATGCCACACCTCACCCTCCTTCTACCCCCATACCTCCCTCACCTTGCATGCAAATGCTACCCGTGCTCCTCGTTTACATTCACGTGCGCACACAGACCCCGCTGCTAACCTGAACGTGACTCTACTCTGGCTTGTTTTTCTTTAAAAACTAGGCTAAAACCATTAGGCATCACTGACTGAAAGTAACCTGCACCTTAGTGACACAAATATTTTTTTGCAGGCCCTGTCACTTTCCCAGTTTTTTTGGCTTGTGGCCTAAATAGCAGCGGTCTTAATAGCCCATAATAGCAGCCCTTGCTCCTGCACGTGTACAGTTGAGTTGCTTTGTTTGTCTCCCGCCTCGGTTTAGTGGTCAATTTCAGAGGAATGAGCCTGCTGAGTCATCCAGGGAATGTGGAAAAGTGTCTCCGTGTGTCAGAGGGTCTCAACCGGGGGCTCAGTGCCTCCAAAGTTGGACATGAACTTGTCAGCAAACCTGGACTATAAAAGAGACCACCTACTGAGTTAAATCCTGTGCATTCACTTAATAATAATACAGTTATATGGTGGGTTTGATTTATACGTAGAAAAATTGATTTTCTAAGACAAACAAAGAGCTGTAGCTCCCAGCACAGTGCACAGGCTCTGTCATCTATTAGTTAATCTTCATGTCAGAGAGAATTTGGCCCATGCACGAAGGTTATAACAGACAGAAACTCAAGCCCAGAGGCAATATGTGCAGAGCACTGCACACGGCTGTGTTGCTGCACACCTGTCTAGCACTGTAGCCCTTGGGTTATTTCACATTGTGACTCGGCCAATAAGACGCTGTGTGTGTTTTACATTTGTACTTTTGCAAGATAATACTTTTTTGGCTCAGGAGGAGTTGCTTTTTTACTGAAATGTTGTTTTTTGTGTCTCTTTGCTCTTCAGAGAAAGAACCCACACGAACCAGGTGTTTGACAGCAGCAACTCTTCTTTTCTTTTTCAACGTCTTCAAGGGCGTTTCGCTCTCTTTCACTTCGCTCTCTTTAATCCTGATGACACTCCTGGTATTCAGAGTTTGGCTTTGAATAGTTTTATAGCTTTAGCTCTGGGATGAAGTGAAATGGTTTCTGGATGGTCAGCTCGTTAGGTGTGCTCCACTTTTACCCGAACACATTTCAAAACAACAGGCAGCCCGGTGGACGGCTTGTCCATACCTGTCCACATAATAAAAGCAAGAAGTAGGGTGGAGGAGGGGGAGCGAGGAGAAACTGCTGGTGCTCAGCTGGGAAAAAGAAAAAAAAAAGTGGAGCAGCGAGCTAGAAAACAGAGAGGAAGAGAGTACAAGTAAACACAGGAGCAGATGAATGCGAGAGATGCATCAGCAATTTGTTGTAAAGTAGGTCAGCCTCTTGAGAGCTCCGTGGCAAAGGATCAGATTGGAATCAAAGTGCTCTGATTGACAGTTTGAGTACAGCAAACCCAGCAGCCTCCTTTTCAGTGAATTCAAACCAGAAAAATAAAAACACCAATTGAAACCACAGCAGATACATGAATGGCACACTTGCTTTTAATGTTTCACAATTACTGCAAAGCTTCTAGTGCTGATATGACTGAACAACGGAAAATGAATCACCAGTGACTTTGGGAGTGGATTAAAGGATAAGGCTTGGCATTTTTCATTTACAACGACTAAAACTTTTAAAGGATAAGGATGGTGATATTCTTATTGTCACTAAGTCCCATAAAAAGACCAAAACCAACAATGAATTAGTCCGTCCCTCAATACTTTCCAACCTCCCCACCCTGTCTTTGGCTCTCAGTTTGAAATCCATTGGTTCCCACTGGAAATAGAGATCTTCAAACAGTGTTTCACAAGTAAAGTTACATTTTTGAAAAAGGCTAAATAGTTTCCTGAACATCCTGGGCATTTCTAGTTCTCAGCAAACTTTACATTGTATTTGTTGGGAACTATATTTAGTGGTGGATCAATCGACATTTGGTGCTGCATTGAGTCTTTATAGCAGGTCAGTATTTATGGGATTGACTGAAAATTGACTACAGTGTGTGTTCATGGTAATGAAGGAACATGTCACCCAATGCAACAGTGTGGCTCACTGATGTGTTTTCAGTCATTTTTTGGACAACAATGACATAGCTCTGTGGCTCAGACTGTTTGGTTTTTGTTCTTTTTATGGGGATGATTAAGCTTTAAATGCTTAAAGTGGAAAGGGACAACTTTCCAGGCCCAGCATTTTGAAGTGGTATCATTGTTGACGCTGCTGTCATAAAGACAACTGGATCACTTTCTTTTTAGCTCAGGGCCCAGTACCTAAATACAACACAGGACACACTGCATTTTGTTTTCCACATTTACTTTGGTTGTTTCACCAGCCACCATCTCTGCTACGTTCTTTGCAACTGCAAAGAACTTACATTGATACTCTTTGGTAACTTGCGCGTCAACTCTAACTGACAGTTGACGCGCTTTCTTTGTGCTATAAATCAAGCCTTCATTTTCCTGGAACATCGTACACGGCGGCAGACAGAATTGCATAGGGAAAGCGAAGCTTATCAGGATTGGTGTAATGATAGTTGATGAGGTGAGTGTGCTACTAGGTAGGAAGTGAGTATACTCTTTTATATATTCCAATGGGTTTTTGGCAGATAAGTAGGTACTCTGTAAACGGCCAGAAATATACCTGTTTATACTCTGAAATATTTTGGGTTTTTAGACTGTTGGTCAGACAAAAGAGGAAATTTGAAGACATCACCTACAGATATTGTGACAAGTACTATTTTCTGACATTTTAAAGACTAAAATTCATCAAAAACACATTTTAAATCTACAGATTAATAATAACCTTTTAGTTGCAGGCATTAAAGTGTAAGGATGGGGCTCTTTGACACATTGTATACTGGCTCTCCACTTTTATTCCATGGTGAGTTTTTGGAGAGATTGTTGCTAATACAGTAGCTGTATGAAACATAAAAAGGTTGTCGAGTTATTTTTCAAACTGCTTTTTTGATGATGGAGTCAAGAGGCTTTTGAACATACTGGATACTGGATTTAATTTTTCATATGTCCATGTAACCTGACAAAACATCCTAAATCAGCACTCCTTTACTTAGAATCTCATCGCATACAGAAAACCATGGTCTGTCAGAAGGTACTGATTATGAGATTTTCTGGATTTACTGCGCGTTGGATCCTTGGCCCTCCATCCACTCGGTAGCTTTTGCGACTTATGACAAAGCACCATAATTAGACCGGGTTATTTCCATAAGATTGTCAATAGCTCCTTTGTGTCTTTACTATCCTGTGTGCTGTGTGTCTCCTGTATGTCAGCTCATCTGTGACTGCAGTTGTTATGGTGGCAGAGTAAAGCCGGGGGAGGGGAGGTTAAAGGTCCAAAAGTCTTGCCGTTTAC